TAAAGAAAGTTCTTGTCATTTTTTGTTTTGTAAAGAAAGTTCTTGCTATTTTTTAATTTGTAAAGAAAGTTCTTGTCATTTTATGTTTTGTAAAGAAAGTTCTTGCTATTTTTTAATTTGTAAAGAAAGTTCTTGTCATTTTTTTGTTTTGTAAAGAAAGTTCTTGCTATTTTTTAATTTGTAAAGAAAGTTCTTGTCATTTTATGTTTTGTAAAGAAAGTTCTTGCTATTTTTTAATTTGTAAAGAAAGTTCTTGTCATTTTATGTTTTGTAAAGAAAGTTCTTGCTATTTTTTAATTTGTAAAGAAAGTTCTTGTCATTTTTTGTTTTGTAAAGAAAGTTCTTGCTATTTTTTAATTTGTAAAGAAAGTTCTCGTTATTTTTTGCCTTGTAAAGAAAGTTCTTGCCATTTTCTGCAAATTAAGTATAGTTTATGTGTCGTCTGTGCTGTTTTTTTACCTGTATTTTGTTGTACTAAAAACAAGAATTCGAAGAGACGGCTACAAAACTTGACGAAGATGAGACAATTATCTAAAAACTACAATTAAATGGCTACAAAAATGTGTCATTACTACATTCAAAAGGTAAAAAACATGTTATCGAAGCATTTAATATGGCGTAGGGTAGGATAGGGCCAGATAGGAGCAAGCAGGGTAGAGTAAGGCTGAGTAGAGCCGGCTAGGACCAAGTAGGGTAGGAGCGGATATGGCCGGTAAAGCCTGGTAGGAGGTAGATCTGGGTAGGGTCGGGTAGAGTTGAGTAGGGCCAAGTAGTGGCGATTAGGGCCGAGTAGGGCAGAGTAGAGTCGAGTAATACTGAGTAGGGCCGGCTAGGATCGAGTAGGATTGGGTGGGAACGCGTATGGCTGGGTAGAGTCGGTAGGGCAGAGTAGGGTCGAGTAGAGCCAGGTAGAGTAGGGGAAGACAAGATGGGTATGGTAATGTAGGGTAGGGTAGGGTAGGGTAGGGTAGAGTAGGGTAGGGTAGGGTAGGGTAGGGTAGGGTAGGGTAGGGTAGGGTAGGGTAGGGTAAGGTAGGGTAGGGTAGGGTAGGGTAGGGTAGGGTAGGGTAGGGTAGGGTAGGGTAGGGTAGGGTAGGGTAGGGTAGGGTAGGGTAGGGTTTTTTTCTAATTTTAAAAACTTTCACAAAATTACCAACGTTCACAGTGTAGTATTACCAAATTCGTATTAAAAATGGCCTAAAGCCATTTAATTTCGTTAAGAGCTTTTAAAGATACAAAGCAGGAGTTTTGTAAGGCATTCGAACATAAATACATTGGCATCATGTGAGTTTATGTGAAAGTGGCAATACGTGATTATCGACAAAAGTTTTTGAGCTGTAAAGAAAGTAATTGCCAGTTTTTGATTTGTAAATAAAGTTCTTGCCGTTTCTTGCTATGTAACGAAAGTTCTTGCCATTTCTTGTTTTGTAAAGAAAGCCCTTGCTATTTTTTGTTTTGTAAAGAAAGTTCTTTCCATTTTTAGTCACATTTGTATTGTTTTCGGAAATTTCGTAGTGTTTTCGAACGGTAATAGTAATAGGATTGTTTGCTCGTCTTTCAGGTGTGCAAATTAAATGCCCTCAGGCAATTTTTCGTCGGTTTTAATATTGAAATTCGAACAAAGTGAAACGGTTTTCAAATTTTTAATTTTATTCTTTTACGTGAAATGATAATATTTTTCAAATTTTCATGTTTGTAAAGAAAGTTTTTGCTGCTTTTGGCTTTGTAAAGAAAGTTCTTGTCATTTCTTGTCTTGTAAAGAAAGTTCTTGCTATTTTTTAATTTGTAAAGAAAGTTCTTGTCATTTTATGTTTTGTAAAGAAAGTTCTTGCTATTTTTTAATTTGTAAAGAAAGTTCTTGTCATTTTTTGTTTTGTAAAGAAAGTTCTTGCTATTTTTTAATTTGTAAAGAAAGTTCTTGTCATTTTATGTTTTGTAAAGAAAGTTCTTGCTATTTTTTAATTTGTAAAGAAAGTTCTTGTCATTTTATGTTTTGTAAAGAAAGTTCTTGCTATTTTTTAATTTGTAAAGAAAGTTCTTGTCATTTTTTGTTTTGTAAAGAAAGTTCTTGCTATTTTTTAATTTGTAAAGAAAGTTCTTGTCATTTTTTTGTTTTGTAAAGAAAGTTCTTGCTATTTTTTAATTTGTAAAGAAAGTTCTTGTCATTTTATGTTTTGTAAAGAAAGTTCTTGCTATTTTTTAATTTGTAAAGAAAGTTCTTGTCATTTTTTGTTTTGTAAAGAAAGTTCTTGCTATTTTTTAATTTGTAAAGAAAGTTCTTGTCATTTTATGTTTTGTAAAGGAAGTTCTTGTCATTTATTGTTTTGTAAAGAAAGTTCTTGCTATTTTTTAATTTGTAAAGAAAGTTCTTGTCATTTTATGTTTTGTAAAGAAAGTTCTTGTCATTTTTTGTTTTGTAAAGAAAGTTCTTGCTATTTTTTAATTTGTAAAGAAAGTTCTTGTCATTTTATGTTTTGTAAAGGAAGTTCTTGTCATTTTTTGTTTTGTAAAGAAAGTTCTTGCTATTTTTTAATTTGTAAAGAAAGTTCTTGTCATTTTATGTTTTATAAAGAAAGTTCTTGCCATTTTTTGTTTTGTAAAGAAAGTTCTTGCTATTTTTTAATTTGTAAAGAAAGTTCTTGTCATTTTATGTTTTGTAAAGGAAGTTCTTGTCATTTATTGTTTTGTAAAGAAAGTTCTTGTCATTTTATGTTTTGTAAAGAAAGTTCTTGCTATTTTTTAATTTGTAAAGAAAGTTCTTGTCATTTTTTGTTTTGTAAAGAAAGTTCTTGCTATTTTTTAATTTGTAAAGAAAGTTCTTGTCATTTTATGTTTTGTAAAGGAAGTTCTTGTCATTTATTGTTTTGTAAAGAAAGTTCTTGTCATTTTATGTTTTGTAAAGAAAGTTCTTGCTATTTTTTAATTTGTAAAGAAAGTTCTTGTCATTTTATGTTTTGTAAAGAAAGTTCTTGCTATTTTTTAATTTGTAAAGAAAGTTCTTGTCATTTTTTGTTTTGTAAAGAAAGTTCTTGCTATTTTTTAATTTGTAAAGAAAGTTCTCGTTATTTTTTGCCTTGTAAAGAAAGTTCTTGCCATTTTCTGCAAATTAAGTATAGTTTATGTGTCGTCTGTGCTGTTTTTTTACCTGTATTTTGTTGTACTAAAAACAAGAATTCGAAGAGACGGCTACAAAACTTGACGAAGATGAGACAATTATCTAAAAACTACAATTAAATGGCTACAAAAATGTGTCATTACTACATTCAAAAGGTAAAAAACATGTTATCGAAGCATTTAATATGGCGTAGGGTAGGATAGGGCCAGATAGGAGCAAGCAGGGTAGAGTAAGGCTGAGTAGAGCCGGCTAGGACCAAGTAGGGTAGGAGCGGATATGGCCGGTAAAGCCTGGTAGGAGGTAGATCTGGGTAGGGTCGGGTAGAGTTGAGTAGGGCCAAGTAGTGGCGATTAGGGCCGAGTAGGGCAGAGTAGAGTCGAGTAATACTGAGTAGGGCCGGCTAGGATCGAGTAGGATTGGGTGGGAACGCGTATGGCTGGGTAGAGTCGGTAGGGCAGAGTAGGGTCGAGTAGAGCCAGGTAGAGTAGGGGAAGACAAGATGGGTATGGTAATGTAGGGTAGGGTAGGGTAGGGTAGGGTAGAGTAGGGTAGGGTAGGGTAGGGTAGGGTAGGGTAGGGTAGGGTAGGGTAGGGTAGGGTAGGGTAAGGTAGGGTAGGGTAGGGTAGGGTAGGGTAGGGTAGGGTAGGGTAGGGTAGGGTAGGGTAGGGTAGGGTAGGGTAGGGTAGGGTTTTTTTCTAATTTTAAAAACTTTCACAAAATTACCAACGTTCACAGTGTAGTATTACCAAATTCGTATTAAAAATGGCCTAAAGCCATTTAATTTCGTTAAGAGCTTTTAAAGATACAAAGCAGGAGTTTTGTAAGGCATTCGAACATAAATACATTGGCATCATGTGAGTTTATGTGAAAGTGGCAATACGTGATTATCGACAAAAGTTTTTGAGCTGTAAAGAAAGTAATTGCCAGTTTTTGATTTGTAAATAAAGTTCTTGCCGTTTCTTGCTATGTAACGAAAGTTCTTGCCATTTCTTGTTTTGTAAAGAAAGCCCTTGCTATTTTTTGTTTTGTAAAGAAAGTTCTTTCCATTTTTAGTCACATTTGTATTGTTTTCGGAAATTTCGTAGTGTTTTCGAACGGTAATAGTAATAGGATTGTTTGCTCGTCTTTCAGGTGTGCAAATTAAATGCCCTCAGGCAATTTTTCGTCGGTTTTAATATTGAAATTCGAACAAAGTGAAACGGTTTTCAAATTTTTAATTTTATTCTTTTACGTGAAATGATAATATTTTTCAAATTTTCATGTTTGTAAAGAAAGTTTTTGCTGCTTTTGGCTTTGTAAAGAAAGTTCTTGTCATTTCTTGTCTTGTAAAGAAAGTTCTTGCCAATTGTATTGATTAAAACAGCTATCTTTAGACATGGAAAACGGACCGGGCCTGAGCGAAATTTAGGTTCGGCCGGGCTTGGAAATCTCGAAAAATCTCTCGGCCCGGACCGTAAAACCTCAGCCCGCTTCTACGTAAAAAATTCGTGTTGTGCCGGAAAAGTGGGCGCGGTCTGGCCCGATCCTCACGTCTAGTTATAGTAACGTCTTGCAGCCTACGAGTGACAATTTATGCGACAGATATGCAAAAAGCATCATTTTACGTTGTGTAAAGAAAGTTTTTGCCATTTTTTGTTTTGTAAAGAAATTTTTTGCGATTATTTGTTTTGTAAAGAAAGTTACTGCCATTTTTCCTTTATAATTCTAAAAGCAGTCGTTTCGCAGCGCGCGAGTGACATGTTATACGATGAATTACGATTTTTTAATTTTTCTGCTGATTTTTATTTTGTAAAGAAAGTTCTCGCTATTTTTAAAATAAAAAATGAAATTTCAGTCATTCATCAGTTACAACCTCATAGCCATAACCAGTATCATAACATCAAAATGGCATTCGACGAAATGGACAAACAAAACTTTACAGTATGCGGCCGATTACATTTGAAGCCGGCTGCCAGAATCGTATCTTTGTGTTTACTATGCTTCGTATTTGTCGATTTTATATTCTCGTTCGGGCGAAGCACGGCGGCCATGTTCTATTCGTGGATGAGTGCATGCTTCTCAATTGGTATCTATGGTGCACTGGTATATGCGGTCTTCAAGGAGAAGAGGATGTTCATGTTACCGTATCTTATTTTTCAGGTAGGGTGGGGTAGGATAGAGTAGAGTAGAGTAGAGTAGGGTAGGGTAGGGTAGGGTAGGGTAGGGTAGGGTAGGGTAGTAGGGTAGGGTAGGGTAGGGTAGGGTAGGGTAGGGTAGGGTAGGGTAGGGTAGGGTAGGGTAGGGTAGGGTAAGGTAGAGTAGGGTAGGGGTAGAGTAAAGTTAAGTAGGGCAAAATTCAGAAGGCACGGATAATTTAAAATCATTTTAATTTTTTTTTATGTTTAGTACTAGTGGTAACAGTAGTACCAAAAAGTGAACCAATGTGTTTTTTTTTATTTTCAAAGCGCGCTTTTAAAATTTCTTTTAATTAATAGAAATTTTGTTTTTTTATGGTACCACTGGTACCAGTAGTACCAAAAAAGGGTACCATCAGCATTTTTTTTATTTTTAAAAATGCAATTTCAAAGCATTTTTAAAAAATACAAAAAAATTTTTTTGTGGTACCACTAGTACCATTAGTACCAAAAAGCATTATTTTAAATATTTTGTTAAATTTATCGAAAATTTAAGGAAAGGTGAACAATTACCATTTTCAGACAGTGTTCGTAGCCTTCTTGTGCCTTATTTTATTGATATTCACCATTGGAGCCATGTTCTCCAACGAACTCATGAGGAAGTTGAGTAAAGACATTGGAGCCCTCGATGAAGCTGCTGACATGGAAGAACAGACTAAAGGTAAGAACTTTGTTTACAAAAGATAAAGTGGCAAGAACTTTCTTTACAAAACAAAAAATGGCAAGAACTTTCTTTACATGTTATAAAATTGCAAAAACTTTCTTTTCAAAACGTAAAAATTAAAAAATGGAATTCCTCGGATAACTTGTCACCTGGAGGCTGCAGAGCCCAACCTTTTCAGTTTTAAAAGCACAAAATGGCAAGAACTTTCTTTACAAATTATTTTTTTTTTAAACTTTTACTTTGCCTACTACTATGATATTATACTATAACCATACATTTCAGAATACCACGCCTTTGTCATCTTCTTCTTTGTCTTTTTAAGCCTGTTCATGTGCTGCCAAACCTATTTCCTCACTATTATCTACAGATTTTTCATTTTCTTACGTGATCGCGAATCCAGCTTCAACTTCAACGTTGACAATGATTTTCAACTGTCCGAGTGAACGAAGGTACTATTATATAATATATAGCCGGGTACTGTAATATCATATAGCACGGTACTGTAATATCATACAGCACAGTGCTGTAATATCACCTTTGTACCTTAATATCCTACTGTAATATATCATTTTTTGTTTTGTTTTTAATAAAATGTAAAATACGACGGTGTTTACTAAGCGCGATAAAATAGGTCATGATAAGTAAACTACGACAGTTAGTACTATAAGCCAAGATTTTATTTATTGAAAGTACGAGGTTATACAATGATATGATAGTAAAATGTGAGGTAATATACAGTTGCACAAGAACCAAAAAATACATATACAGGTACTAGTAGTAGTACCAATAGTATCATTAGTGCCAAAAAGCGTACCAAAACTTTTAATGTCAAATTATGGTAAATTTACTTCAAAAAACTTCTTTTTGGTCTTGATTCATTATATCGTAATGGTACCATTAGTACCGCTGGTACCATTGATACCAAAAAATGTACCAAAAAATTTTTTAGGTAAAATACGTTCAAAAGCCTGTTTCTATTTTAGCTTTTTTATGAAGTTACCAGTAGTACTACTAATACCAAAAAGTGTACCAAAAACAAATTTTTTAAATATAAAAAACTTAACTTTAGATACGACAAAAAATATTTAAAAGTGCCAAAAATGACAATATTTCAAGCAAAAGCACGTAAAAACCGTTTGGTACGGTTGAGTATCTCAGTTACCGCAGTTTCAGCAAATTTAACCAAAGTGTCAGTGAAGCCGTCTCTCATTGATTGTTGGGTGGTGGAGGCTTGCTGAAATGATCATATTAAGATTATTTTAAAACAAAAGACAAAATTTTTAAACTTTTAGTACTAATAAGTAACATTTTTACAAAATCGGTACCATCAGTACCAAACGTATATCAAAAATGTTTTTTTACAGTACTAGCACTATCTTGTAAAGAATTTTTTAGTAGTACTAGTAGGACCATTTAATGGTACTAGTGGTAACATTTATTAGTACTAGTGGTACCACTAGTACCAAAACTACACTAGTCTAACATATTACCCTACCCAAGTTCTAGGAGCAAAAGCTTTGGTCGGCCGAACCCTTTGAGCACTCAAAGTCAAAGTAGACTCAGTAGTAGTTTCATATACTGTTGGCTCAGTAACATCCTCAGCATCGTACAAAGGAGCTTCTAATGTGTCCATGAAGATCAATCGACCGGTTCCTGAGAGGCGTTGAGGGCCGTGGAGCTGAAAACGGCAGAAAATTTGTTTAAAAAGAAAAGCAAGTACTCTACCTGCCTTATCATACCCTCCCGGTCCTATCCCGTATTACCTTACTCTATCTCAATCTACCCTACCCTATCCATCTGCCTTACCTTAATACCCTACCGTGCCTTACCGACTAGCTTATGTTTAAATTAAATTTCAAACTTTTTAAAAAACTTACCGGTGCTGCTGTTAAACATAATAAGTGTATCACTAATAATGGTAATACTAATAAAAGTAACATAATCGCCTTTGCTGTCGTTATTTTACCTTTAAAAATTTTGAATTAAAAAATTAATTTTTTAATTTTTAATCTTTCAGACTACTAACGCGTTGTCCTACTCTACCGTACCCTACCCTACCCTACCCTACTATTACCCTACCCTACCCTACCTTAAAGTAAAACCAATCTTAATCCTACCCTAGCCTCACCCTAACTCTATGCTGGCCCAACTCTAACCTTATGCTGCCTTACCTTAACTTAAACCAAGTTTTACCTTATTTTACCCTGCTTCACATTAATATTTTTCCGTTTTTGTAAGTTTTTTTTGTTACCCCTCCCCAGCTGAAGGTCCTCTACAAGTCCCTAAACCTAAAGCGCCTAGAAGACAAACAAGCCCTTAAAACTGTTATATTATACTTAATTTAGAGGCCGAGACGAGGAATTTCGAAGACAGTTTCGGATGTTTCAGATCCCGTTGAGCAAACAATTACCAAAACCGGAAAATAGAGAAAAGAAGTCTTTTCGCGGTTAGCGACCAGTTTTTCCGAAATTAAAAAATTTGGCTATTATTTGACCGGAGGGGTTTAAGTTCTTTTTTACGTTTGGCCAGTTTTTTAAAATTTTTTAATTTTTGCGACGGGTGAGCGGTCGGGGTACTGTGACAAAGTTTTAGTTTCTTCAGACTTCTATCATGAGACTTAGCTTTTTGATACATGGAAAGAAAGTCCTTGCCATTTTTTGTTTTGTAAAGAAATTTCTTGCCATTATACGTTTCGGAAAGAAAGTTTTTGCTATTTTTTGTATTGTAAAGAAAGTTCTTGCCATTTTACGTTTTGTAAAAAAAGTTATTGCGAGTTGGAAGAAAAGTGCGGACAGCCTGCGGGTGTCAAGTTATACGATGAATCACGTTTTTTTAATTTTTAAATTTTGTAAAGAAAGTTCTTGCCATTTCTTGTTCTGTAAAGAAAGTTCATGCCATTTTTTGTTTTGGAAAGAAAGTTCTTGTCATTCCTAACCTTGTAAACAAAGTTTTTGCAGAGAAGTTTTGGTCAGTCGAAAGCTTTTGAGCTCTGCTGTTCGCGGGTGACAAGTTATACAAAGAATAACATTATTTTAATTTTTTAATTTTGTAAAGAAAATTCTTGCTATTTTTAACTTTGTAAACAAAGTTTTTGCAGAGATTTTCGGTCTCTTCGGCTTCCCCAACCCACCACCGCCCAAAAGCGCCGCCGCCATCGCGTTGCGTGGGCGTGGGCGTGTGGTCGCAGCGGCCATATGCCAAAGACGGCTGTGTTCATCAGTCTACTGTTTACCATGTCAGTTGTGAGTGGGCAAATGCGCTGGTGCGATTATATGGCAGCGATCGGGCAGAAGGCGGAAGAATGCGAGCCTGACTCGAAAAGTTTGGAGATTCAACGACAGGTCGAGATGAGTAGGTTTTTTTTGCAAAAGTAGGATACAGCATGACTATGGTACATGCCTAAGGTTAAGACTAGGTTTAACAAAAGTACAAGGGCTACACATGGGGAACGGTCAGGACCTGAGCGTTAGGTCCGACCCGATCTAAATTCGGGTCAAGGTCCGCCCGGCCTGATGGTTGATTTAGCCTGTTCCCCATGTCTAGCTGGGGCTTGGGCTAAAGCTAAGAAAGTAAAAAGAGCTAGGTTATGTGCTAGGGCTGGGGTTAGGATTATTGCTAAAGCTAGTGATCTGGGCTAGGGCTAAAGCTAAAGTTAGAACTAGGGCTTTGAGCTAGGGCTCTGGGCTAACGCTCTGAGCTAGGGCTCTAGGCTAGGGCTCTGGGCTAGGGCTCTAGGCTAGGGCTCTAGGCTGGAGATTGAACTAGTCCTCGGGCTATTAATTTCTGAAAAATTTCAGAAATCCCATACCCAGACTACCCCTTATGCACAGGCCATTATGGGTATTGTTACAAATCAGAGGAATGTGAAAGTGGGTTAGTATGTAAACAGACTTTTACTGAACGAAAATGCTGCACCTCACCGTACAGTCAATGTCCTACGGTTGATGAACTTGGTTACACTTGCTTGAAACATCATCCTACTAATTGGTAAGTTGGTACTAGTGATCTAAAATATGTTTTTTAAATTTAAATTTTTTAAAATTTTTAGTATCATTGGTACCAGTGGTACCAAAAAGTGTACCACACATATATTTTCTAAAATACGTTAAAAGTGCATTATTAATGTCATAAATTTTAAAAATATTACAATTTTTACAAGTGGTACCATTAGTACCAGTGATACCAAAAAGTGTACCAAAAATATTTTTTGTAAAGTACGCAAAAAGTGCCTTTTTAAAGGTACATGACATCAAAATAACATTTATTTTTCTACGAGCGGTACCATTAGTATCAGTGGTACCAAAAAAGTTTAAACACAAATTTCTGATTTTTTTCCCGAATCTTTCTTTACTACTACTAAGACCTTTGTTTTATGCCATTTTCGACAGTATGTTATAACACTTCAGGTGCCTACGCGACGACGATTGCGACACAACCCGTTCCAACCGCTACCTCTGCTGCCCGACCGGCTGCAACTACAACGTGTGCATCCGAACCCGCAACCGAAGCCCCAACCATCTGGCCGAACAGATCAGCCTGATGCAGGCGGCGAACAACGGAATCGGTAGGTCTGAAATACCGTACCCGCGACGCAAAGACCCCCTTATCGTACCGCACGCGGCCCCATCATGGCAACAGAACAGCGTCGTCTGGAACTACGAGCTCGAGCGTTTGGTACACAAACGAAAAAAGGTATTCGAAATGTGGTCCGCACGGGCGTGCTGTGCTTGTTTGTTGTGGTGGGGTGTGCGGTAGGGGGATAGTGTTTGAAGAAAGGCAAGGCGGGGGGAGTTTTACTTTGTGATAGCGGGAGGGTGGTATAATACCCAAGATTGAATAATTTTTTTTTCAAAAAAGTGGGACAAAGTTGATAACTTTGGCTATGGCAAATTTTTTAAAAACAGAGCAGCCCGAGCCTAGCTCTAGTTTTAGCCCTAGCTTTAGCCCTAGCCCTAGCCCTGGCCCTAGCCCTAGCCCTAGCCCTAGCCCTAGCCCTAGCCCTAGCCCTAGCCCTAGCCCTAGCCCTAGCCCTAGCCCTAGCCCTAGCCCTAGCCCTAGCCTTAGCCCTAGCCCTAGCCCTAGCCCTAGTCCTAGCCCTAGTCCTAGCCCTAGCCCTAGTCCTAGCCCTAGCCCCGAGCCCTAGTCCAAAGCCCTAAAGCCCTATCCCTAGCTTTAGTCCTAGCGTTAATCGTAGTTCTAACTTTACTCTTAGTTTTTCCTCATTCTACATTGCCTTATCTTTTTTTACTCTACTTTACCCTACTTTACCATACCATGCTGTCCCTTACTCTGCACTACTATACTGTATTTCACTCTATCAAACCCTATCTGTGCTGATGTGCAAGGATGTTCAAGGTTCAGATAAAGACTAACGGAGCTATCCTTGAGTCTGATGTTTCCTATAATTGGGCCTCTCCCCAGGTATTCCACTGTTCCTCGCGTCACTGTGTCGCAGGTGAGGTGCTCCATAAGACTTCTGGCGTTCAATCATATACTCGTGTAGGCCGAGTATCGATGTGCCTAGTCCCCGTGCACTAGACACATCTATACTTGGTCTACACGAGTACAGCACTATCCATTCCATAAGGCGTCTGGGTTGGGCCGGCGCGGGGTCGAACCAAGGTCCTTCCGAATAGCGAGCGGCGGCACAGCCACTACGCTACCAACACATTATTGTAACTGGTCGTATCTATGTTACTGACCTCACCCTTACCTACCTACTTTTCATCTTTGACTTTACTTTACTCTATCTATTTAACTTTGTTAAGTCTACACCACCATACGTATTTTACACTTCACCCTACCATACCTATTTCACATCTTTCCTACTGTAACATACCGTTAACCAACTATTTTCAGGAATTGTTCGGGATCCGTCGACATGTCCGTCAGCGCTTTCGTTGGCCGTGACCTGCCAACGACAGCGGAGTCGGCGTTGGCGTCCCACGACCTCATGGTGCAGTAGTCACAACGATTGTCGGCCGTCACAGCACGGTGAGCGCAGTTGCTGTTCCACGCCGTGCGGCTACAATATGTGTGTTACGAAGCTGAGTGGCGGTACATGGTACATTGGATGACAGTACAAGTACTGTATGATGAGTATGGTACACTTGAGGTTTTGGTACAGTAGGACTATGGTACTGGTACTATTGAAGTTACAGTACACTGGTTATGCCGCATTGTAGCAACAGTACGCTTGGCATATTGTATTGTAGCTACAGTGCGCTTGTTGTACCGTATAGTAGTTTCAATACGATGCTTATACCGTATTGTAGTTACAGTACGCATATTATACTGTAGATATATAACAAAAGTATTATTTTTATAAGAACTACAGAATAAGTACAGTATAACCACAATATACCATTTAATTCTACAGTACCTTCTACAGTATACCATTAAAAGCTCCAAGTGTGCCACTACAGTACCATCAACACCATGAACAATATGGGATGTGAATAGTGTCTCAACAATGTAACTTCATACTCAAACGGGTCAACTATAGTAGCATCAACATGTATTATAAGGATGTTTTGATTGTAATATTTTTTAAATTTGAAATTGTTAAATTTAATGAATAATTAAAGTTATTGCGGTAACCGTGACACAACCTTAATAAATAATATTAACTAAACTTGAAGAAGGGTTTTTTTTCTTTTTGTAAAGAAAGTTCTTGCCATTTTTAGTTTTGTAAAAAATGTTCTTGCCATTTTCTGTTTTGTAAAGAAAGTTCTTGCTATTTTCTGTTTTGTAAAGAAAGTTCTTGCTATTTTCTGTTTTGTAAAGAAAGTTCTTGCTATTTTATGTTTTTTAAAGAAAGTTCTTGCTGTTTTGAAAAAAAAACAATAAAAAATTGTTGGTTGTGCAGGTAGCGGGTGACAAGTTATACGATAAATAATATTTTCGAAAAAATTTGACTATTTTTTGTACTGTAAAGAAAGTTCTTGCCATTTTTTGTTTCGTAAAGAAAGTTCTTGCCATTTTTTAGTTGGTAAAGAAAATTCTTGTACTTCTTCACCTACTAGTCTATTTATATCCGACTGTCCAAAACAGTTTGTTTTGATTTGACCATTCGAACTTTGTGTTTGTCCAAATGCTTTAATTTCAAACCGAAATTCAAGATTCTAGCACGCTTTTCTAAAAAGCCATGTCAATATCGATAGCTTGCTGCTATTACATTTGGGAAGTTTAACTTTTATATTGTGGAGCAAGGCAGGGAAGTAGGATAGGGTAGGGTAGGGTTTTGAAAAATGGCAAAAACTTTCTTTACAAAACAAAAAATTTGATTGTGAAACTTTGAACAGCTTTTTCTTCGTATAACTTGTCACCTGCAGCTTGCACAACTAAAATTTTTTTTCTTTTTTTTCGAAAGCAGCATTCCTTTTGAAAGCTAGGGTAGGGCAAATTTTTGCACGTTAACGTATTTTAAGTACCAAAAATCTCATTTTGCTAACTAAGTTAAGGTTGATTATGTAAAAACGTGTGGTTGATACCTAAAATGCGAAGTGGTAACGTAATTCACGTTTGTTTTTGCAAATTCTATTAAAAATTATGCAAATTCTGCTAATCTTTTTTGGTTTTTAGTTCGACAAGGAACTCTCGGTTTGGTATATAAAGGTAGTCACTTCATATTGTTATTGATATCTTGCAGTATTTTTGAAAAAGAAACTTTTTACTTCGTATTTTACTTCACCGTGCTTGGTGTTTCGTACTATATTGGTCCTTATAGTAGTGAACATCGTTGCCATACTGAATAGTACCTTATAGTAGTTAAGCTTACTATACTATATAGTACCTCATAGTAGCAACTCTTAACGTACTAAATAGTACCTTTTAGAAGCAACTCAATTAGTAATTTACAATTCCAATTATTGTCATACTAAACAGTGCCTTGTAGCGGCCAAGTTTATCATACTAATCAGTACTATATAGTACGTTAACTACCGTAATCTACATTACCATACCCACGAGTCCTTATATAGTAAAAAACCATGCCAGAAGGAAAACTGTTTTTAATACTTACGACTACTTTATTCTTAAGCCTAAAAGCAGCTCCAGATCTAACGTTTGGTCGATCAGTTAGTCCAGGACCAGACTCGTCCGCACAGTTTAGATCTGCAGTCTTACCTAAAATCTTTGGAGGACAAGAAGTTAGAACTCCTCTTACTGTGGTAGGTTTACATAGCTTTTAACTTTATTTAGTTATTGGTTTTGCTTTAAATGGCAAGAACTTTGTTTAGAAAACAAAAAACGGCAAGAATTTTCTTTACAAACTTAAAATTGCAAAAAAATTCTTTACAAAACAAAAAATAACAAAGACTTTCTTTACAAACCAAAGAATAGCAAGAACTTTCTTTACAAAGTATAAAATGGCAAGAACTTTCAGACCGGACCATATGGCCAACGCCAGAAGTACTACAAACCTTTAAACAACTCCAAGTCAGGACCAAGTTCTAATACAAACCAGAATTTACTGGACCCTCAAGCTTTACCGGTCGATAATCAAGATTCTTTACAATCGTCTGATCAAGATACGGTACCCTTATTACCGGCCGATCAACCTACAATACCACTACCATCAAATTGCCCTCAATCTCCATTCACCAAATATTTAAATTTGTCGCAACAAGAGCAACTTTTCCAAGTTGTCCGCGACGCCCGCGACCAAAACTTTGATGAAGCGTCAGTAAAGAAAGTCATGATTGATTACATGAGAAACACGCTGGATACTGTAACTTTTTCCAAATTTCAAACTGAAAACCGAGAATTCGAAAAACATTTGGTTTTACGACCGGTCGATGTGAGGTCGACGAGAGGAAAAAGAGAAGCGAGGAAAATGTGGAAGAGAAAGCCTAAGCGGTATATTGTCAGAGTAAGTTCTATTTAAAGGGTATTTAGGCTGGAACAAGACGTAGGTTAGAACTTGCTTTAATGCTTTCAGGCGCTCTAGCTGTGGTCTTAGACAGTCTAAACCTCAGCTTAATCAAGAGCTAGAGATAAAGCTACAGTTGAAACTTGAGCTTGAGTTTCATCAAGGTGCAAGAGCAAAGGCCAGGACTGGGAGCTAAGGCTTGGTGCTAAAGGTCGGGGCTAGGAACGTGGGCTGAAGCTGCTGGCTAGAAGCTGAAATAAGTAGACATAACGAACGGGTCGGACTCGTTTCGTCCTGACCTACCACCGGGCCGAGTCGGCGCCGGACCTGAACATGAACGCCCGGTTCAAAAAGCCCGGCTTGTTTGCAAGTAAAAAATAAATTTTCTTCAAGCCCAGGTCGAACTGGGCTTTGGAAGAAAATTTAAATCAGGCCACGCTTAACATTTAGGCCCGCTCCGTTCCTCATGTCTGGGGGTCTGGCTTAGGGCTATGGGCTAGGGCTCTGGACTGGAGCTCTGGGCTAGGGCTTTGGGCTAGGGCTCTGAGCTAGGGCTCTGGGCTAAGGCTCTGGGCTAGCGCTCTGGGCTAGAGCTTTGGGCTAAGGCTATAACTGACGACTAGGGCTCTGAGCTAGGGCTATGGGCTAGGGCTCTGGACTGGGGCTCTGGGCTAGGGCTTTGGGCTAGGGCTCTGGGCTAGGGCTCTGGGCTAAGGCTATGGGCTAGCGCTCTGGGCTAGAGTTTTCGGCTAGGGCTAGGACTGACGACTAGGGCTCTTGGCTAGAGCTCTGGGTTAGGTTTCTGGGCTAAGGCTCTGGGCTAGCGCTTTGGGCTAGGACTGACGACTAGGGCTCTTGGCTAGAGCTCTGGGTTAGGTTTCTGGGCTAAGGCTCTGGGCTAGCGCTTTGGGCTAGGACTGACGACTAGGGCGCTTGGCTAGGGACTAAATTTCAAAGTAAACCTACTTTTTCAGAGTCAACGCGAAGTCTACGACATTGAAAACGGCGCAGATACAGTGAACGAAATACCTTTACATAGGCTGCCAGTGGTGTAAATCTACATCTATTAAATAGCTTGTAATTTTAAAATTGACTTAAGAATCGATACTGTATGTACATAACTGATAATAATATTATAATTTTATTTAATATTCATAACTGATGTAATAAAAATATTATAGAAAAAGGCAGAAAATGCTGTACTTTTTAACCCGTATATGTATTTATAATATATAAACTGTGACCAATATATGACAATTCAAAATGACATTTTTGAGCAAAAAAAACAAAAAAAAATCAAAATCTCTGAACATGAGGTACAGAGTCAGTAGTACTAACACTGATAACCTCTTCCATCTGAATCTTTTGACTTTCTTTCTCTCTGATCCTCCCCTCTTCACACCTTCGGCCGATATACTTCATCATCTTGTAGCCAAGATACTGTACAAATAAAAACAAAAACACAGCCAGTACTATAGAGCCTTTTTGAAGGAATCCTGATAACATTTCGAAGAATTTCGCCATATGATGACTAAAGGATTCGTTTGAAGTCGATAGTATGTTTGTGGAGTTGGTATTGAGAGGGTCTGAAATTTATAGTACAGAAAATAACAGTAAAAAAAGATAGCATAGAATACGCTACCCTACCCTACCCTACCCTACTCTACATTACCCTACCCTACCCTACCCTACCCTACCCTACCCTACCCTACCCTACCTTACCCTACCCTACCCTACCCTACCCTACCCTACCCTACCCTACCCTACCCTTCCTTTCCTTAACCTATTCTGCTTTTTCCTACCTTGCCCTACCTTACAGTACTCCACCTTACTCTATTCTACCCTACCTTCCTTTACCCTATTTCCCCTGCCCTACCATACAATACCTTACAATGACGTATCTTACCGTACCCTATCATACCCCACTATACTCTACCCTATTCTGATCAACGTTACCGTGCCTGACCTCTGCTTTGCGCTGCTCTGCCTTGCACAATCCTACCATGCCCTGTCCTGACCCACTCTGCTCTGACCCACTCTACCCTATTCAACCCTATTCTTCTCTGTTATAACTAACTTTAACTTACTGCATCTTACTCTACCCTATCCTATCTCACCCTACCTAACCCTAGCTCCGACCATTTTCTAACCGATCCTATTTTACTAAATCATACATATATACATAGTTAAAGCTTATGTTTTCCATAGTAAACACTTACTTATGCTCGTATTTTCAACATCAATTGATCGACAGCAGCTTTGAGTTATCAGTAGTAACATAAAAATACAAATTTTAAAATTTTGAGACATTATTTTTAAAGCTTTTTAGAAATCTCAAAATTTTATGTTGTAGTAGGTACTAAATTAAACCTTAAGCCTCAATTTAAAATTTTAAACCTAAACTTAATAACAAATCCAGCAATTTCAATTATGCAAACCCAGCTGATCTAAGGTAAAAATAGCTTGAGACCTTCAAGTTTCGACCCGAGCAATCGCTGCTTGTTTTTTGTTTTGCAAACGGTCGCGCTCTCGCTTCCACTTACTATATTACCCAAGGCCATAGTCAAGGTAACCGGAGATGGGCGAGCAAACGATTGGCGTCATTTTCATGAATTCAAAATTGATGAGAAGCGTGCGCTACAGTGAAAACCATTTTTTTCAAAAAATTGCAAGAACATTCTTTACAAAGCATAAAATGGCAAGAACTTTCTTTAAAAAGTATAAAATGGCAAGAACTTTCTTTCCAAAACATAAAATGGCAAGAACTTTCTTTCCAAAACATAAAATGACAAGAACTTTCTTTACAAAGCATAAAATGGCAAGAACTTTTTTTACAAAACAAAAAATGACAAAAACTTTCTTTACAGAACTAAAATTCTTTTTCTTCGTATAAATCGTCTACTGCAGGCTGCGCATGACAAAAAGACACTTTTTTAATATATAGAGGGCAAGTACTTTCTTTCCACAATCAAAAATGACAAAAAATCCAAAAAACACTTTTTTCATTAATTTATTTACATTTTTGGTTAATAAAAATTAAATATTTACAATTAAGGTAAAGTAAAGTAAATAGAAGTACGTTATATATACAATTAGATCTGCTCATTATTATTATCATAAAAAAATAAAAAATCTAAAAATCCAGACCTTAAAATACCTAAAACAATAAAAAATAGTCAAAAATGCCACTTCTAAGCCCGGCCAAACATAAATTGTCCAAATAGGCCCAAAACTATGGCTATGCCAATGCCGAGGAAGAAAACGTCCGCGTTGGCGAAGAGTCGGCGAATGATTCTGGGCAAAATGATTCGAGTACCGACCAGCTCCACTGCCTTCAGCTTTTGCTTGGTTAAGGGTGGGTATCTGGCTCTGGAAATAGAATATTTTTAGGTAACAAATTGTGAAAAAAATAAAATTTTAGGTAATAAATTTTGAAATTGTGAAGTTCTAAGTAAAAAAATTTAAAAAAATGATTTTAGGTAACAAATTTTTGAAAAAAGTGGTTTAAGGTAACAAATTATGTAATAAACGAAATTTTAGGTAACAAATTTAATAATTTAGCCATTTTAAGTAAGAAAATAAAAAAATATGATTTTAGGTAACAAAATATACAAAAAAATCACGTTTTAAATAAAAAAATTCATAAAAATATCATTTTAGGTAACAAGTTATAAAAATCAATATTTTAGGTAACAGATTTATAAAAGTGCCATTTTAGGTAACAACACAGCCTAAAAATGCCATTTTAAATATATCAAAACAAAAATTATAATATTTTACTTAACCAAGATATTAAAAAATGCAAGAACTTTTTTTCCATCCTAAAGAATTAACTTACGCTCCCAACTGTTCGCCAAAGAATCCTCGCTTCAAGACGGCCTTATGATGACTGAATTGGTCGAATCCGTAACGATGTCTGTATCGGCCGATTCCACTTTGACCGACACCTCCAAATGGCAAGGTGTCCACTGGAAATCAAGATTTATTATTTTCATCGTATAATTTGTCGCCCACGGGCTGCAGAGCTTTACGTTTATTAAAAATGGCAAGAATTTTCTTTACAGGCCCAATAATTGCAAGGACTTTCTTTCCAAATTAAAAAAGACAAAAACTTTATTTCCAAAACAAAAAATGGCAAAAACTTTCTTTCCACCAACTAAAAAACTAAAAACTCACCACACATATGTAAAACAACATCATTGACAGTGACAGCCCCACTTCTCGTGTCATTGACCACTTTATCGACCAGTTTTTCGTCTCTTGAGAACAAATACAGCGCTAATGGCTTTTCGCCTTCGGCCAAATATTCCAACGCTTCTTCGGTCGAATTTACAGTAAGAATTGGCAAGATTGGGCCGAATATCTCTTCTTCCATCAACGAGTCCTCTGGGTTTACTTCTACCACCGTTGGTGGTATAAAGAGGTCCTCTTTGTTGGGCTGTGCCATCTGTATGCCGACGTTGCCTTGACTTTTGTCCAGCAGGTTGATGAGGCGGCTGGAAATGGAAGGAATTTTGTTTACAAGGTGTTGAATGACAAAAACTTTCTTTACAAGATGTTAAATGGCAAGAACTTTCTTTACAAAGCAAAAAATGACAAGAACTTTCTTTACAAAAGCTAAAATCGCAAAAACTTTCTTTCCAAAACTCAAAATTTCAAAAAAATCACTCAAAATGCCGTGGACTGATGATTCTACAGTAATCCTTGGAAGCGGTGATGTCTGGATAGAATTCGGTTAACGCTTTCTTTAGCTCGTTAATGAATTGTGGCTTCTGTGCTTTACTGATAATGGCATAATCTGGTGCGACACAGGTTTGGCCATTGTTCATGAACTTGCCCCAGGCGATTCGCTTGGCCGTCACGGCCAAATCGGCCGTATTGTCGATTATTACTGGGCTGAAAATTGATGTTTTACAATTCAACGGTAAAATTTTCGTATTTTACGATAATCAACCACAAGTGAACCAGTAGTACCAAAACATAAATTTTATAAAAACCGTTTAAAATCTCCATTTTTTGCCAAAAACAGTACTAAAATAACAATAAAAATAAAAACCATACCATTTCCCACCCAGCTCCAGTACCACTGGAGTTAGATGTTCGGCAGCCGCCTTCATGATGACTCGTCCAACCGCCGTGCTGCCAGTGTACAAAATCAAATCAAATCGTTCTTTTAGTAGCTCTTGAGTCCCTTTTACATCGGCCAAGACAACAGCGACTTGCTTTGGATCGAAATGTTTGGTGAAAGCCGCTTGCAGGGCTTCGGCCACATTTGGTGACACTTCTGATGGCTTTATCACTACTGTATTACCTAAAATAATAAATTTTGTTAAAAAGAATGCTTGAAATATTAATTGCAATACTAATTTCAATCAATATCTTTCATTTTAAGCATAATTTGATGAAATTGTGTTTAGTACTCTGTTTGGTACCACTGGTACTACTGGTATCAAAAAAAGTTTAGAAATAGTACTACAGTAATTTTACGTTAAAAACCACACAATTTAAAAATCTTTGACAAAACTTATGGTTAATACACTTTTTTGGTACTACTAGTACAACTAATGTCAGAAAAAAGTTTTTAACTCCCTCCCCTTCCTTTCCAGAAAAATCCTTACCAGCAGCAAGCATAGTAGCCAAAGGCAAAAACACCATTAATAACGGGTAGTTCCAAGGTGCTATAAGAAGACAACATCCATATGGGTCCTTGATTACCATAGCCGAGTCCAAAATCTGGGCTGGTCCCTTCTCCACGTACTCGGGCTTGGCCCATTCGTTCAGATGCTGAAGACAAACGCTGATTTCGTTTAATGCCATGTTAATCTCGAGAAACTTGGTGTGTGGTTGAGTACGGCGAAGATCCTTGTAGACAGCATCACAAAGCAGGTCTTGTTCTTCATTGATAAGACGTTGAAGACGATGAAGTTGGTCACGACGAGTCGACAGCTGAGCTGGGATGCCGGTTAGTACGTGATGGCGTTGGAGGGTTAGTATCTGAAATTTGAAAAGTTAGATTTTTTGGAAAGAAAGTTCTTGTAATTTTTCGTTTTGTAAAGAAAGTTCTTGCAATTTTTTGTTTTTTAAAGAAAGTTCTTGCCATTTTTGGTTTTGTAAAGAAAGTTCTTGCCATTTTTAGTTTTGTAAAGAAAGTTCTTGCAATTTTTCGTTTTGTAAAGAAAGTTTTTGCAATTTTTTGTTTTTTAAAGAAAGTTCTTGCCATTTTTGGTTTTTTAAAGAAAGTTCTTGCCATTTTTAGTTTCTTAAAGAAAGTTCTTGCAATTTTTCGTTTTGTAAAGAAAGTTTTTGCAATTTTTCGTTTTGTAAAGAAATTGTTTTCCACTTTTAGTTTTGTAAAGAAAGTTTTTACCATTTTATGCTTGTAAAGAAAGTTTTTTCCATTTAAATAATAAATAAACCTACCTGCTTATGATTCATTACTATCTGTTATTACAATAAGTGAAGTTAGTTGTTCTTTTCAGTTCTGAAAATGTCTTGGTTAGTATGAACCACTTTATTTTACAGTAAAAACAACGAAAATAAAAATAAAACTCGGAAAATAGCGTTCTACCTGCCCTTTATTTTACCCCGTCCTTTATTTAACCCCGCCCTTTATTTTACCCCGCCCTTTATTTCATCCGTCTTATTTTACCCTGCCCTTAATTACCCCTACGAATTCTCCTAAAAAATCTATTAAACCCTGCTAACTATAAGCCTAAATATCCTAAGCCCACTAAGCCTATTATTCATATAAGCCAAAACCCACAAGATTAAGCCTATTGAACCAAATCAAAATAATGACACTTTGTTTTGGCCAAATAATTAAAACCAGGGTTTATCAACTAATCTTGATAATCACTTCGAATACACTACACACAACGTTTAAAGATAAAACAGTCACTTTAAACTGACATTGTTTATGTTTGTTTGAGAAAAACAATAAAGAATAGGCTCTTTTTTAAAGTATAATGACTAAAATATTGCCATAGTAACATAAAGTTGCAAATTTTTAATAGTTTTACTCAAGGGGAAAGGGGAGATAAGATAAAGTAGGAAGAATAAGGTACTTTAAGGTAGGGTAGAGTAGGTCAGCAACACAATTTCAAATTTTTATCGTTTTACTGAGCAAAGGCGCTAGGTGGTGAATACCAGTAAAGGTATTAAATTGAACCAAAAGTAGCGGGACAATTTACATTTATTTTTCAACCAAAAATGGTCCCGTTGGTTCCGCCTAATAGGAAATTAAGAAACAAAATGGTCAACAATAATGGATAGGCCCTGTAAATCAAAAAAAAATTTAGCTCCCACCCCCTCCACAAAAAATATGTAGCGACGGCCCTAGTTTTACTATTGACATTACAGTTGCTTATAATAAGTCCCGACATAAAGAATCCGCCATTTTTTACAGGGAATTACAGGAAAGTATGACGGGTTCTTTGTGTCGGCACCTAATATATAGCTCAAATATATTTACAGTTTACAGTAAAAGCTCAATCACATTAATCCAAAAAAAGATCCGAATCTCCCATCAAAAAACAGTTTAAAGTGACCCATTCGGAATAAAAAAAGACTAAAAACAAATAAAATACCATCTGATTCGCTTCAAAAATTGTTTACCTCTAATGTGTTTTAAAAGACGCCGCTTTACTAATATTGCTTTTCGGATCTGTAAAAAGTAATAGACAGAGTCAGTTTACTGTTCGTAATAGTGACACGTTTGATGATTTTCTAAAGTAAAACATTTTTTATTTTGAAAAATATTTTTTAAGCCTCCTAATAAATTAAAACTACTAAGCCTAAGCCTACTAAGCTTAAGCCTACTAAGCCTAAGCCTACTAAGCCTAAGCCTACTAAGCCTAAGCCTACTAAGCCTAAGCCTACTAAGCCTAAGCCTAAGCCTACTAAGCCTAAGCCTAAGCCTAAGCCTAGTAAGCCTAAGCCTACTAAGCCTGAGCCTACTAAGCCTGAGCCTACTAAGCTTAAGCCTACTAAGCCTGAGCCTACTAAGCTTAAGCCTACTAAGCCCAAGAATACTATGCCTAAAACTACTAAGCTTAAGCCTACTAAGCCTAAACCTACCAAGCCTACGATGACTAATATTTCCAAGTAAAATTAACAAAACTTACAAATTAGCCTTCCTCAAAAGCAATAACTAACCTTTTTCTAATTACACAAAGTTTTAACGTATCATTTTAATTTAAAACTTGTTGTAACATGACTCGAGTCAAAAAAAATACGTTAATATAATCAATGATTTTTGATTTTTAAAGCATTTTCTTTCGATTTAAAAAGCAAAACATAGTTAAAACTTCTACTGGTTTTTAAATTCCAAAAAAAATTCAAAATTTGATAGGAAAGAAGGTAAGACATTAACGACAACATAAGCCTGAGCCTACAAAGTCTAAACCTACTAAGCCTAAGCCTACTAAGCCTAAGACTGCTAAGCCTAAGCCTACTAAATCTAAACATACTAAGCCTAACATGCTATGCACAAGCCTAAAAACCTAAACCTACTATGCCTAAGACTGCTAAGCCTAAGCCTACGACTAATAAACTCAAAACTAAATCTAAACTTTGTTAATAGGCAGACGATATCCCAAATCAAAACCAATGTAACTTCATTCAGCTGCCATTATATTTAAACCCGTAAAACTATGCAAATCAACACAAAACACAAAAATCAAATCATCAACGAGAACTCAGAATACAAATTAATATTTTATTATATAACCAATAACATAAGTTTATATTATGTTAGATGACCTTGATCACGACGAAAACCACAAACTATAAAATGGAAAAATTTATCCGCCAAATCTTCTACCTTTCGTAATTTATCACAAACACATTTCACAATCAAAACGAATCCTTCCGTCAATGATTTCAGCTAGATTTCAAAAATTTTCAAAATATTGTTTTTAATTTCAAAAAAATTGAAAATAATAGTACTTTTTATAGTAACCTGCTGACTATTGATAATAATATAAAATTTCATGACTTTAGTTCAAGAATATAACCGCCAGACACCCTCATATCCAAATTAATCCAAGTAAGAGAATATTGACCTCTTATTACCTAAAATAATATTTTCTTACTCTAACGTAATATTGTGGGCCGTATCACTTATGAAATTACAAAAAATAGACTCAACTTGGCCTTGAATTAACCAAAAACGGCCCGCTCGACCTTGAAACATTAAAAAACAAGAAATTTTTGGCTGTAACACATATTAACCTATATGATTCTTGACCAGACGACTGGTTATTCAATTTTCTAACTAATACAAACTTCAGACAGCGTTAGAGTTGTATTTAAAATGTCGGCACGACTCATTAGTACCTGTAGAAATTCATTAGTACCTTATAATAAAGCATGAGAGCCATGCCATAAAGTTATGACTTCGAAAACATATTTTAAGACCATCCAAACTCCCTAAAATACTAGCAACTTCCCAAAACCTTTCAAAAACATGCTTGAATAAGCAAAAAACAAACTGATAACGTCTCTTAAACTTATGATAAACAATTAGCATTCGAATTCAACGCCTTTCCTTCGATATTACTTCAAACCAACATCGAATTACCCTTTTACGCCAAACATTGCGTCCAACTGCTTAATGTTCAATATTATTACCTAAAAAGCAAACAAAATCAAAGAACCACTTACCTTATTTAGAAAAAGGTCAATCAAGAGCCGACTCTCGTCGTCAATCAGCTGTTATCAATTAATATCCATCATGAAAAGGTAACATCAAAACGACGTAAATTGTTGTTCAGTGTAATATCCAAGGAATGATCATTTTAAAATTAGCCCTTTTTAGTATGTTTTAGTTGTTTATCTGCGAATATTGGCCAAGCTTTTGAAGAAAAAAAATATTTTGCTTCATGGCCAAATTTGGGCGCAATTGTTAAATTTTATAAAAATGCAGCCTGCGCAATCACATTATACGACAGAACGTGCCCAATCAAACTAGACGAAGAAAAAAATTGTCGGCAACCTGACAGAGTTATTAATGACCGTTTATTTGATACAATCACAAATCAATAAATACTCGGAAAGAACTGATACCGAACTTTGTTCGTATATTGCATCCAGTGATGTTGGTACTTCAATAAGCATCTGAATTCGTCGCGATTCGCTCGAAGCCACAAGAATCCAACCAAAAACAGGACTGGAATGTAGCCAACCATAAAATCCCATCGGACTACCAGGGTCCAACAGGTGAAAGACAGGATTTCGGTGGCGTAGTTGAAATGACGAGCTTTTCCCCAGTAGCCACTGCCTGAAAGTCATGGATAATATCGGATATTGCTGGTTAACAAAGCGTCTTCTGCTTTATTTTATAGGTAATAAGATGTTTTTGAAGAAGAAAGTACGTTTTTACTATAAATTGTTGAAATTTTAGGTAAAACGACGTTTTTTTCGAAATGTGCAACTTTGAAATGCGCCTTGGTTAATATAAGGTAATATCAAGTGATTTTTGATGGGAAGCTATGTGTATTTGGTATCAATAGTTAGGTAATTGAATATTCCTTCTGGCAGAAACAAATTTTCGCCAAAACTTGCAGTGTTTATGTAAAACCAACGATTTCCGCCATGGTTAACATCGAAACCTCCTTTTTTCGGCAAAACTACTTTTAAGTCCCATTTCCTATAACTTTTCTTGTAATTTTAGATAAAACGGAAGAATAAGAATCTTTTTCACCAAAAACCTACCTAATAATATATTAGTAGCAGCTTCTCCGCCTTCTTTTCGATATTTGGCCACGATGTAGAAGGGATCTTTACCGTCAATCTTCATCTGACCATCACAATCCCTAAACTCTTTTTTCTGTTCATCAACTAGTCCAGTCCAAAGCTGAAACAGTAGTCCGAGCAAGAACAGAGCACAGCACGATGCAATATGTGGACTTTTCGAGGTTTGGGCCATCAGCGTGACTGGAGTTAGGTAGAGCGTTGGCAGGAATACCAATGCGCCCCAAATGCGACAAAAACCGGCTTTGTTTGTCTGATTGTCCAGTGAGCTGGGACGGCAGGGATCGTTCCAGGAACGGCGGAGCCAGTAGATTAGCTGAACAACGATCAAAATATTAATTTTGGTTAATGCTTATCAAGATAACAAAACAAAAATATTGAAAAGAGGACTAAAACTATATGAAATCAACTGAACAACCGTTAAACCATTCAAAAAGTCTATTACCTGTAAACTGGCACAGCAAATAAGTCCAGGCGTCAAAACTCCAACTGTAATTCGTTGTTTGGCCAGAGCAGAGAATAGGTAACAACAATATAAAGCTCCTAACACTCGATTAGTCAGAAAGGCCTTCAAATCCATGTCGAACACGACTGGCTGGGCTAGTTTTCCGAAGAAAATGTCATTGATAACGTCCTCGGCTGAAAGTTTTTTTATTAAATTTGATTGTTTATGGTACTAGTAGTACTAGTTGTTTTTGGTACTCGTAGTACTGGTTGTTTTTGGTACTGTTAGTACAAAGTCAAAGAAGAGCAGGGCTAGCCTAGGGTAATATAAAGTAGAGTGGACAGGGTATGATAGGGTAAGGTAAAAAGAGGATAAGGCACGGTAAGGAAAAGCAGGTACGGTAGGGTAATGTACAGTAGGGTACGATAAAATAAATAGGGTAATTTAAGGGTAAGTCAGGGTAAAGTAAAACCTTTCAAGGTCGGGCAATGAGAACCATCTTTCTCCCTTAAACCTTACGTTCATCATCCTTCTCGCTATGAGCATAAAACTGCCATAAAATAACAACCATACTCAACATGCCCATAACCACCATAATCCCGTTCCAATTATCAAAAATCAGCGTTGGACTGTACCACCTAAACGCGGCTCCAAGCCCAAAAACTAGGGCATTTAGTACCATCCCGCTAAAGGCATTACAATGTTGTCGAAACAACTGATTTGCCTGGGTACGGTAGATTTTTACAGTAGCCGGTAGAAGCCAGAAGAAGAGGAATTGGAGTAGTACTGTGGCTGATACTATTAAGTACGGTGTGATTTGTTTTAATGGTGGTAGAAAGTCGTGTAGCTTAAACTTATGGAGCTTAGTGATACGACCATGGTATGTTGAGACGAATGGGTAGTAAAGGTGGATGAAGATGGGGAATAACACCATGAATATTAGGGTCAGCTGGTTGGATACTTGCTTTTTACGCTGAAATTTGAAAAAATTTGGATTTGTAAAGAAAGTTTTTGCCAATTCTTGTTTCGTAAAGAAACTTCTTGCAATTTTTTGTTTTGTAAAGAAAATTCTTGCAATTTTTTGTTTTGTAAAGGAAGTTCTTGCAATTTTTTGTTTCGTAAAGAAAGTTGTTGCCATTTTTTGTCTTGTAAAGAAAGTTTCTTCCACATTTTTAAAAAAATTTTACATTCTTTACCGACAAAACACTTTGAATGTAGTCGATATCCTTTTGACTAATGCTCGACCGTCGATTCGTGGTCGATAAGTTAGAGTTGGCGAGGTTGGACGAGGAACGTCGGCGGACAATGTTCGGCCGCATCGTTACAGCCATTTTGGACTGTTTCGCACATTTAAGACGCTGAAATTATTCATTTTAACTTTTGGAAAGAAAGTTCTTGCCATTTTTTGTTTTGTAAAGAAAGTTCTTGCCATTTTTCGTTTTGTAAAGAAAGTTCTTGCCATTTCTCCATGAAAACAGTTTGTTTTTGTTTTCTGCAGCCTGCGGGTGACAGTAGCTTTTTTTCAATTAAAAAAACAAACGTAATACTCCCTGTAGACATTTTTTCTAAAATTGAAAAAAACTTCAAAACCTTCTACCCCCGGCTGAAATTAAAGGTGATTTTTCAAAAATTTTTAATTTTAAAATTAAAAAAATCGAAATTTAAAAAATTTCGAAACTGTACAAAAACCTACCCACACAACCTCGTACATGTACGCAGTTCATCTACAAAACGCCTTTTCGTATTACCATTAATAAAATCGAAAAAAGTTCGTTCGAAAAATCGGCGGAAAGATGAAAAACCCTTTCGAATGCCCGCAGGTCGAAACGATTTGAGAACGCCAGCTGTTTCGCAAAAAAAATGATTTCGAGTGGCCAACAGACGGATTGTATAATGCTCTAGTACGACGATTTGTCATAGTTTTCTCCATCAAGTACGAAATGGTTCAAAAACCTCGTCAAAGCGAGAAGAAAATGAAAAAAACCGGCTGGAAAATACTTATGACAAATGTCATGTGAATTGTGAAACATTTCGAGATGTTGTAAACATATTTTAGATTGATACTATTGGTTTATTATCAATTATAAGCCTGAAAATGGAGGACAAAAGCAACAACTTTCCTTGCAAAATAAAAAATGGCGAGAACTTTCTTTACAAAACAAAAAATGGCAAGAACGTTCTTTACAAAACATAAAATGGCAAAAACTTTCTTTAAAAAACGTAAAATGGCAAGAACTTTCTTTACAAAACAAAAAATGGCAAGAACGTTCTTTACAAAACGAAAAATGGCAAGAACTTTCTTTACAAAACATAAAATGGCAAAAACTTTCTTTAAAAAGCGTAAAATTGCAAGAACTTTCTTTACAAAGCAAAAAAACATCAAAAATTTTATGCCAAATCAGGCCCTGGGTCGTCACCCAAGGCCTTTCCAAAAAATCCGTCAGCTTTATATTCCAGCCGTCCCTGACGCTGACCAGATCACAGTGAAATGCGGACGGCAATCCACCGTTCAACTGCAACTGCATTAAAACTGCTTGGGAATAACACAAAAGTAATTCGTTGACAATTCTGAGAGTTTCGAACTTAACACCTTTTAAATTTGTCTTTTGATTGGGTTCCCTTTTCTATCTTTTTGGACCGCAAGAATTTTTCTTGCTGAGCAGTTACTGGTAAGAATTTTCAATGCAAAAGGTAAAATGACAAAAACTTTCTTTAAAAAAGCGAAAAATGGCATGAACTTTCTTTACAAACCAAAAAATGGCAAGAACTTTCTTTACAAAACAAATAATGGCAAGAACTTTCTTTACGAATCGAAAAATGGCAGGAACTTTCTTTATAAAACAAAAAATGACAAGAACTTTCTTCACCAAACAAAAAATGACAAGAACTTTCTTTACAAATCAAAAAGTTACAAAACTATAAATGACTAGAAAAATATTTTTAAAAAAGTCAGTTTGGGGAAAACGTGCATTTTTTTCAATTTTTTTGAAAGCCCACAAGATTTTAAATATTCCCTAAAATTAAAAACTCGATCAAATTCAAAACATCAACAATAATTTATTTTCAATATTTAATATCAACATCTTGCCCGACTATGGGCGGTTTCACTAGACCTTCAGCGCGTCGTTGTAGACATCTCTTGACATAGGCATCAATTTGGTCTTGGTTGTTTCGCCGTGCCAATACTTTTCGAACCTTGTCCATGCGACGTTGTTGATCGTGGAGTAGCCGTTCTCGATGCCCTCTGTGGCTTTTCTGTTCTTCTTTGTGAGAATCTCGGTCCTCTTTGTGTTCTCTCTCTTTTTTACGTGAATCTGTGTCATGTTCATCATCTTTCTCTTCCTTGTTATCATCTTTATGTTCTTTACGAGGTTGTTCGTCGTGAAGTTGTCGTTCTCGATGCCCTTTGTGGCTTTTGTGTTCTTCTTTATGTGAGTCTCGGTCATCTTTGTGTCCTTTATCATCTTTATGAGAATCACGACCGTTCTTTCGATCTTTGTCGTCTTTAGAATCCCTGCCATGTTTATGATCTCTGTCTTCTTTATGGACATCTCTGCGTTCCTTTTCTTTTGTACGTTCTGTGCTGCGACGTTTTTCATCGTGTCGTTCTCGACTGCCTTTTCGATGGTTATCACGGTCTCCTTTATCATCTTTTTTAGGAGTTTCATCACCTTGAATCGGTCGTTTTTCAGCTTCTGTTGGTTCTTCTTTGATCAACATTTCTCGCTCTCTCACTCGATCATCCAGTAGCTTCTTTGCAAAGGTTTCACGATACATACTTGCTTTGGTAACATCGTTGATATCTAAAAATAACATTTTATATGCTTCATCTTCCACATCTTACCCTAACACATTATATTATCGTAAATTTAAGTAACAATCATTAGAATTTAGAATTCTAACCACAATTTAAATAATAAAAAAATCAAATTCACACCTAAAATTAGATAATAAATCACAAAAACCCACCGTTAACATGCTCTTCGGCTTCCAACTCTTTCCTGAACTTTTCTTTTTCTTCAATTTGCTTCCTATATTCTCCTGTTACAAAAACTTCCTTGTCTTCAAACTCGTCTCCTTCTTCAGCTCTTTCTCTCTCTTGTTTCTTTTCTTCTATGATCAACTTCTCAAGGTCTCGACGTTGCTTGGCCTTCTGAAGCTTGTCCGCGTACTTTGGCTAAAAAGTTAAAAGCCTTAATATAATATCAGGTAAGAAATTTATATTACGATCCTTTCGGGCACTTTTTAGGTAACTTTTTGATTAAACTCCAAAATCGTTGGTAAAATCAGCGATCTACGTCGAAAAAACTTTTCTTTTCTTCAAATCATAACTAAAAATTAAAAAAAAAAGACTTACCTTTCCTTCCTTATCATTCTGCTTCAATATAGTCTTAACTTCCTCTTTCCTCCTTTCCATCTCGTCGTAATGCTTATCATAATCATAAACTGATTCATCTTCTTCCATTATCTTCTTCACTGCTCTTTCGTCCTTCTCTTTCTTGTTACCATACTTTTGTCTGAACTTATCTTCGGCCGAAACTGGAGTTTCACTATCTGAATCGGAGTCCTGGTTAAAAACTGACGCAACTTCATTGTTATCGTTCAGAACATTATGTTTTCTCTTCAAGTTAAGTGAGAGAGATGTTCTGAAACAAGATGAATGTATTAACACAAGTAATTTTTTAAAACAAACTAAATGAATTCATACTTTTAACCCTCATTTTATGAAGACAACTAAAATAGTCGTATTTTTTAAACGAAAACCCTAACTTTTTAAAAAAATATCTAAAACAATATATAAACTTACTTTTGCGACATATTTACAACGATACCTACAACAAATATTATATAAAAACAGCTGTTAGTAAAATTATAAGAAATTATTTTCAAAATATTTTTTATTTTTGACGAAACACCACAAAAATAACGAAGTGTCACAATTGAATTGGCGCCCAATCTCGGGCCTTTCATGTCGCATTTTTTCAAATAGAATAATCATAACTTTATTATAACGCAAAAATCAACAACGTAAATTTACAAATACTTAAAAATAAAGTTTCTAACAAAATTTCCAATATGAATAGTGGCCTAAAACGCTGAAATTCGAGCAAATCTGTCGTTATTGGGCACTAAAGCTGGGTCTTTGAAGATTTCCTCTATCAATTCCAATCGCATAACGTCATAAAAGCTGAGATCCATGTTGTTAACCTTCACTTCAATCCATGGAGACCCAATAGCTTTGATTTCTTCCAGATATTCTCGGTTCTTGACGATTCTTTGAACATTCGGCCGACTTTCCGTCCTCATACAAAGTCGTTGTGATACAGTGAACGGAAGGTTTAACTGGTTACATACATCCAGTATATCATTTGTACCATTTACCGTCTTATCTTCTAGAAATATTCGCTCCCAAAACTTCTCCATAAACGTCTTGTGCAGCCCAGGATGTTCATCTTTGACCAAGTTAAGAAACCAAATACAAGTATTGCTTCTGTTCTTCAAGGTGTACATTTTCTAAAATGAAAATTTTAAAAAATTGGTATAGATTTCTTTGAACCTATTAATGATATTTTCAACGTTACAGAATTTTATTATATCACATTCGCAAGTTCTTTTTAAAATGTGTTATCCATGACACCAGGGACGTCGCTACGGATTTTCTCTGGGGGAGGGGAAGGTCGAAAAAAAATTTTTCGTCCACAGGTAGGGAGGGACCTGTGGACCGATTTTTCAAAAATTTTCTTTTTCGTTTTTTCGCGTACAGGTACCTTACCTGTGCAGTTTTTTTTCGGATCGGCTCTGGGGAGAGGGTACCCCCCTCCCCCCCTCCTCCAAACTACGTCCCTGCATGACACCTAAACATCGAACACAAGAAAAAATAAAAAAAACTTACTTCAAACTTGCCCACAGGCAGATCATAATATTCACAAATGTCCCTCAGATCTTTCTGGACGTAATTATATTGAGCTTTGGATATATCGGACGTTATGTGACTTGCTTAAAGAAAACCATAGAGATACCTAGTATAAGAAAGTAAATCATAAAAATTTACATTCTTAAAGATCTAACGTTTAACTTAATCAGCTTCAAATTTTGAATTTAAAAAAATCCACTTACCAACAGTTTTATACACTTTAGGCCACATATGAGGAATGTAATCAATGCTGCAGTCTCCAATCTCTCTTAAAGTCGACGTTTTTTGTGCCAAAATCTAAATCAAATCAATATTCATCCTTACTATCAACTAAACTTTTGAGTTAACTCTTTTACTTATCTTATTAACCTTTCAGAACACTCTAAACAAAGAAAAACATAAAGAAAAGCACATTACCTGAAATCCAAGCCATGAATATGGACACAGAATATCGTAGTAGTATTTTATCCGCAACATTTGCGTATGATAGTAATATATTAATCAACAAAACATTGGTGTAACAAAGACATCTCCTGATTTCTTGTTTTTAACATTTTTTCTCTCAAAAAAGCATTAAGCCAATATTTTAGCATCTAATAGGTTTCGTGTCGTGACCTACATAATACATATGTGAACCGTCTTTCTAATTGAAAACGACATGAAATCAGTTTATTAGTAAAAAATAATGTTATACTATTGTTAATAATGTATGTACAAACAAAATCAATTAAAAGTTTTTGTCTTCAGCTATTTGATATTTCAGGTTTTAAAATTGGTTGAATGGTTTATGTGAATCCTTGATTATCCATACAGAGTCTTCTACTTTGTCCTGAAATACAGAACACCGTCATAGATTTATGAAAATACCTTATTTTCAATACAGTTTAACTTTAATAAGGTTTTACACAATTTTTCTGTCAAGCATAATATAATGTTATGGTAACTTTACCGAAAACGCTGAGACCTGTTCCAAATACATGTGAGTGTCATTATAGACTTGAAACTGACTAAAACCATAGTTAGCCAATCTGGCAGCGCTATAATAAGCCGGGTTTTTTGGAAACGAGTTGATTCCTTCCTGACAGCCGGCTGAACCAGAAACAATATGTACTGGTGCCTTTGGATTGGTATAAGGGCTACTGGTGCCATTAAGAACTTGAAATTGATAAATTGGGTAAAATCGTTCGTAATTATGTTCATGTGCGCCAAAATAGACGTCTACACCATTGTCGTAGAAGAGTTTTTCTAGCCCGTAACTACCCTTTTCGTCAACACCTTCTCGAATTACACTGTAAAAATAGTTATGCTGTTCTATGTAAAGAAAGATTTTGGCATTTTTCGTTTCGTAAAGAAAGTTCTTGGCATTTTTTGTTTTGTAAAGAAAGTTTTTGCCATTTTTCGTTTTTTAAAGAAAATTCTTGCCATTTTACTTACTCATGTTCTCGACGACATTCATCACCCTGTAGATCAGTACAGTACATTGATCTGTGGCCAAACACAATTATCCATGGTATTTCTTTACGGTTCGTCTGGGCTTTCTAAAACCAAAGTTTTAATTTATTATTGTACCCTAACATACCATACACTATCATGCTCTAACATAATAGAGTATGGAATATCTACTTAAAGCAGTATGGTCTTGCTACTAATTTATAATATACGTCTGTACATACCTTTAAATCCTCAATCAACCAATTAAATTGCGTCTCAATCGACTGGTTACCGTACTGTTTACCGTAGAAGTAAAATTCCGTTGAAATAGCGACGAAATGCACTTTTCCCAAATCAAAACTGTAAAAAAGGTTGTGATCAGTGTTGGGCATGGTAAATCGTTGGACATAATGTGAAAAATTGTAGGCTTGCTCGTGATTACCCACACTTGTCATATATGGGACATACGAGGCGGCCGGTTCGACTTGGCGCATAAATTCATCTCCAAATGTACCTTCATCGGTAAACATGTTATAGGCAAAATCACCTGAAGATAAGTACTTTAAAAAAAGATAAAATAGCAAAAACTTTCTTTACAAACTAAAAAATGGCAAAAACTTTCTTTACAAAACAAAAATGGCAAGAACTTTCTTTACAAAGTTAAAAATGGCAAGAACTTTTTTTACAAAACGTAACGTACCATTGTGAATAATCATATCAAAAGCTCCATTTTGAGTTAATCGCTGAATTTTTCCTAACGATCGAGCATTTATATTACCCATATCACCATACAAAGCTATCCGATATCCCCCGTCTTGACGTTCTTTCAAGCCTACGAACGTGTAGATACTGCTCCAGCCGTAGTCTGAACCCACTCGGTAGTCTATAATACAGAGTTTAAAATCTATTTTTAGGCTTATAATTGTTTTTAAGTTCTAAATTTATTTTTAGGCTTAAAATTTAGTTTTAGGCTTAAAATCTATTTTTAGGCTTACATAAAATGGTTTTTCAGGCTTAAAATTTCTTTTTATGTTTAAAATCGCTTTGTTAGGCTTAAAGTCTATTTCTAGGCCTAAAATCCTTTTAATTTTAAAAAAATTACATTTGATAAAACTTGTAAGCTTACAGCATCGTACTCCAGGCTGAATACCACTAATCACAGCACGATGAATGTATCGCACGCGTTTCTTCTTTCCGCCATCCACAAATCGTGTGATCTTTGCCTTGTAAACCGTTTTCAGATCCATATTTTCACCATAAACCACTTCAGACGTCTTTGTGTCATCAAATGTCACCCAGGTTACATATAACTTGTCTGGTGTGCCTTAAACTACTTGTTAATACAGTGAAATTTGAAAACAATTGAAGGTTTTAAGAGTGAGAAGAAGGAGGGACGATATATACCAATAAAAAGACCAGACTGGCGATAAGTTAACCTACCGTAGCGCTAAAACATATACAAGATAGCAAAAGAAACTACGATAAGAATAAAACAAAGCTATAAAACAAGATACTGTGAAACAAATGTAAATCATCTTTAATATTGTTACCTCCATAAGAAAGATGAATTTGTTCAGGTTGTCCATAATAAGGTCCAAAATTAGGGTCATTCCTCAGCTCCCAATGAGTTTTTCGATTTTCCGACAGAAACTGCCATGAACAACAACATAGCACCACACATGTCAATACTATAGAACGTAAAATTGAAGTCATTGATCAAGGTTTGGTTAATAATATTACTAGACGTTGTTCAATAATATTACAGTAGACGATTACAACTGAAGCTGGAAGTATACGTTCAGTTGAAAATTAGCCTTTTATGAACGTACCAAATGTCACGGTATTTATTTATTTTGTGTTTATTTGACCATTCTCAGCAAAATCAGCTCCCTTTCCTGGACAAACATTCCGATGACAACTAATTGCGGAATAACATCAGCTGATTATTATTTTACTCTATTGCCCACCTCGTTACAGAGTTCCTGCACCGGAAGCTCTGGAGGTCGACAGTAGGGTACAATATACATAAATCGACCTTTCAATGAAATTTATTAAAAAATCAACAAACTGATGAATACTGTAATAAAAATCTAAACCATGAATAATATAACAAACTGATATGAATTTAAAATTGAAAATTGTAAAGTAACAACTAAATATTGTCATAAATGCTACTGAAAATGACAATATACTCTGTAACAATCATTGACGCTTCTGAAGAGCTTCCCAGCCAGCTTTGGCGTACTTTTCGGCTTCAGCAGCTGGATCTGAGGCTTTCGTAATACCACGGCCGACTATGATGATGTCATTTCCTTGGTCGATAATGGCCTAAAACAAGTTTTTTAGTATTACTTGGTTCAGACACGCATCTTAAATTGATGTTATTACCTGAAATTTTAAAATCTACCTAAAACTGTAAAAAATTGACTTTTTTCCAAATTGTTACCTATAAAAATTTTAAAAAATGCAAAATCTATTTGTGATCAACCTAAAATTAACTTTGTATCCATACCTCTTCGATTCCCCTCCAATTTTGGCCTTTTCCATCGCTCTTCGCGGCCAAATTCACTCCAGGCGTCCAGTACAAGAAGCCTTCGTCATCAACCGGTCGTTTTTGACAAATGAATCCGCCCACAATCTCTCTCAGCTCCTGACCGACCTTGACAGCATTCTCAGTATATCCAGCCAGTTTAGTTAATGCGCCTTCACATGATAGTTCGGATACGATCAAAACACCGTCAGTTTTTGAAGTGTCATCGGCGATGACTGACTTCATAACTTCTATGGCTGGCTTACCGGCCACGGCGTGAACTGTGACTAGGTTGGCCCAGTTTGAAATAGGCGTGGCTCCATTGGTCAGCTGAAATTAGTTGCAGATAGTGTATATGGTACAGCAGAATAAATGTACAGTAGTTTTAACAAATAGGAGTAAGGGTATCAATAAGAGCAGATAAAGTATAGATAAAAGAACACAAATTAATATCAACCCTACCTGAAGTTCATTGGTATTGCCAGTGTCAGCAAACTTCCTGTCCTCAAACAATAAGAATCCGTGTTTTTGACCCAATTCCTTTAACTTCTCCACTAAATCTTGATCAAAATCATTGATCGTATCAGCATGCAGCTTTACACAAATCACATTATCCTTGATTTTATCCACCGTTTCCAACACCTCTTTTTTGGTCGATAAATCAACCGCAACACACAGATTCGACTGTTTTTTGTTGATCAAGTCCAACACCGTTGAGTTTAAGCGATTCTGACGTAACAAGTCTTCTCTCGACTTCAGATTCCAGTCGATTTTCTTTGGTGGATTAGCCAAGACCGGGTTCTTTAAAGCGTCGTCAATTTCAGCGCGCTTTTGCTCTGTTATGGCGTTGACTTTGACCAGGTAATCCAGGATGATCTCGACTTTGGCTACGCTGGAAATCGTTTAATTTAAAACTTGCTTAGAGCAGTGTAAGATAACATAAGTTAAAATAGTGTAGACCACAAGTAATTAAAGGGGTAGAGTAATTTAAAGTAAGATAAAGTAGGTTAAGATAGATCAAAGCAAAACAAAGTAATCCGTGGCAGCACGTCCTGACCTATGAGCCTTAATTCCTTGCTTAGCCAACTTTTCGATGCCTCCCATCTCTCTATCTAATACACAAACAACATCTTCGCAAATCAATCCTTCCTTCCTCAAACAATCGACCGTTTCCATAATAGAAGCTCCAGTTGAGATCACATCCTCAACAATTAGAGCTCTTTTGCCTGGTTCGTACTTTCCTTCGACCAACTTTTTAGTACCGTAGCCTTTGGCTTCTTTTCTCTTCATCAACATTGGCTTGTCATTGAAGTAGGACACCAGCTACAATATTTAATACCATTTTAAAAATTTTTAAATTAAAAAATGTTAGTTTTTAAAAATACTCAAAACTTTTTTTTATTTTTATAATGTACCACTAGTACCAAAACGTGTAACAAACATATTTAGCCCATAAATTTAAAAAAAGTTACCGTTCCCAATGGCAAAGCAGCATATGGGACTCCAACAATATAGTCGTACTCTAAGGATTCTCGTTTAATTACTTCACATAATTGTTCCGTTGCTGCACGCTGTAATCATATATGTTATCAAAGTGACTACTTTAACCATTTTGTTTTGAAAAAAAAAAGTTGTTTTTCCATAAATTTCTTACCATCAAAGATTGACAACTGATCAAATCCCTCAAATCAATGTAAATCGGACTTTTGACTCCACTTTTGAGCACAAAATCGCCCAATTTGAAGACTCCGAGGTCATAAAGTTGTTGGATGAACTTGTCCATCTTTACTTTACCGATTATGAACCTTAAAAGACTAAAAACGTCTAAACTTGGTTCCTGAAAGCAACAATACAGCAAAACAGCGTTAAAACCCGCGAAAAGCGTTCCTTTCCAAAACAATGAAGGATCTGATAGTCAAATCCTATCAGATTAACATAAACAACCATTAGATTATAAAAAGGCGCCAAAGTTTTGAACAAAAAATAAGTCCTTTCGAAGTATACACGGTCATTTTTATCAAAAGTATCAAAAATGACCTAAACTTCTTATCTAGTGAAATCAAAAAGTGCAAGATAAGAATATAGATGATAAGTCTCTCATCCAAAAAAAAAACAAACTCCACCGTAGGACGAATTAGTATAAAAACCAGTTTTACTACCCATTGTAAAAAAATGAAATTCGAAATTTACCTTGGTAATCCAACCAAACAATAATAATAATACTCAAAACCAGAGCAACGACTTTATTTTTTTAAATATAGTAACTCAAAACATTTTCAATACAGTATAAAATAGTATACAAAATAATATTCAACATAATGAATTAAGACACAAGTATTAACCGGTCAAAAAACTTTTTAAATCGCTTTGTTCGTACTATATTATTGAATTTTCTAAAGAGTTTTTGACCGACAAAAATCTAAAGTTCTAAAACTAAAGCTGCATAACATTCATACCTTGCTATCAAAAAAATCCGTTAGAAACATACTTTTTAAAACAAAATAACTAAATTCAAAAAATGAGCTAAAACACATTCATAAAAGTCTATTAGTTATTAACCCGAGGTTTTAGTAACTTCCTTGAACATTGCTTTAATCATTTCATTTGAAAGTCCAGCTCCGTACCACTTCATCGCACAAACAATCGTGTCTGGATCGATGTAAGTAACTGTTGGAAATTCATGGCAAACATTCATCAATGTAGCATTGTACATCGTCACACCGCTATGAGAATCTTTTCTGATAAGACCGCAGAACCTGACGCGAGCGTTCGGAGCTTTTGTGGTGATCGTGGATAGTAAATCCTGAAAATGTTATTTTCGAAATTGTGTAAAAGCAGTTCTAGGAACGAAATATAAGGTCAAAACAAGCCAAAACAAGTTCAAAGTAGCCCTAAATTATGTCACAACTACTTCAATTAAGCGAGAAATTCCAGAAAAAAATATTACAACTTATCCTTCAACCCACAAAGCTTACCTTCAATCCTTTCTTCACCTTGTCCATATCGGCCAGCTTCGCCCAGTGAATATTTGACATGATCGCCACATTCTTCAAAGTTGTAGTCAAAAAGGCCTTTGAGCTCTCGAAACCTTGCTTGACATCATCAGGAAACCCGCTTCTAAAATATATGTAAGATTTCCACGTTATGCATGATTTGTCCCATCCACCACAACAAATGAAGAAAGCTGTGTCTGTTTTAGAAAAAGAGAATTCAAATGGAATCTTGTCGCTTTTGTCAATTTTTGAGCTAGTCACTGACGAAGTTTCACAAGCCTGAAAAAAATCATATTATGTTAATTATTTAGCCTACACCGAACAAAACTCCATGTTAACATAGACCTAAACTTCAAAACTCAAAAAAAACATACCTCATCCCCCTTCTTTCCACGACCTCGTCGACTTCTACTATTTTTCGATGTAACTGACATTGTCTCCATGTTAGACGCCAAGGTATTGACAGAAGAAGACGGAGATAATCCATGTAGTACATTTTCCGCTGGTTTGATCAACTTTGGCATTGCTTCGCCATTCTTTTTCTCAACAATGTCGTGAAACAACATTGAATTGTCCTTTATCAGCTTTTCAACAAAAACAACAACATCGTCGGCCAGTTTTCCCATCGCTGCCGCGTCTTCCAGCTTTCCGTTCATAACGTTCTCTCCAATTTTGGCCATCCATTGCTTTTTCACAACTAAAATAAGAACTTTTAGGTTAAAAAGAACTTTCCGGTGCTATAATAAACCTGTTACAAACTAAAAAGCTAGCAAAAACGAACAAGGTTTTCATCAAATACCACGTTAACAAGCCTAAAACAATTAAAAAAACAACAAAAACATACATTCTCTGAGATCTGCAGGCGTTGACATGTTGAAAACAGATCAGAATATCTGTTAAAACACTACGAAGACCAGATATAATTCTGTTATCGCTTCATTTCATTAAAAGATCCGACCTCTGCACGTGAATTTGTTAAAAAATAATTTTATTTTCGAGAGATAAGTTATACGATGAAATGTGTTTGAAAAATAAGTTCTTCAAAATTCCAACAGTTTTAGTGAAGAGGATTGATAACAATCTAACGTTCTTTTAAAATTTTAATAATTCAAAACATTTAACAATAAGTAGAATAACAATATATTATACACTATTTCCTAAAGACCTGGTGGTTTGACGTGCTTGATTGCTTTGCCCCCAATGTATTGCAAGCCGGAGTACGTTGTTGTAGCTGCCGTTAGTAACCTGAAAAACCATAAAAGTTAAAACCTAAGCCCTACAAGTTCAAAAAACAGAAAAATCGTATTTTTATAACTTTTACCTCGTCCTCAAGTTTTTGGTGAAAATATTGCCTAAAATCCAAGATTAAATAAAAGTACCCTTACCATAGACCATACAGTACAGGATGATCTTGAAAATCAAGTACAGGAGCAGCTAATGCCCCGGCAACTGAAAAGATTTGTAAAACAGTATTCAATTTACTGGCAAATGTAGGATTAATCTCTATCGATGATACTGAAGGGTCAAAGTAGCGTTTGATTGTAAATGGAGGTTGTAAAGTTTGGAAACGATGTCGAAAAGCCCCAGCTAACAATAAAACATCTCGGAGAATGACAAGGGCGCTTAGGGGTACTGAAGTTTAGTTTACATCAACTAATCATAAAGAACTGATGTTGTCATACATAACAAACATGATTATCAAAATAGTGTTCTGAAGCTTGAAAGAAAATAATCTTAAAATGCTTCTTTGTTCATTTTAAACCTAAAAATACAACAAAAACACAAAGATTTTACCAGGAATCAAATGAGCGTAAGCCAACGTGATGAATAACGTGCTGATGAGTAATTTATCCGCTACCGGATCCAACATCGTGCCGAGAAGAGAACGTTGACTTGGAAAAGCACGAGCAATCTGTCCATCAATAAGGTCCGTAAACCCAGCGAGTAAAAACAAATTACAAGCTGCCAAGTTCGACTCGGTTACCACAAGATAGCCTATTACTGGCGTTAACACTATCCTAAAACAAAGGATGAAAAAAGTTAATCTAAAAAATTCTGAAAAATTCTCGCCATATATTAAAACGTATTTTACAATTTTAAAATAAAAACTCCCTGTAAAACTCATTTTTAAATCGCTTATTCACTGACACAACATCACTCACCTAGTAACACACAAAGCATTAGGAATGGTGTATATATTATCTTTGATATCGTAAACCTTGTCCGTACTTTCTGTTTTAACTTGATCTGGTTCATTTTTAGAAGCTAAAACTCGATGAGACAAAGTTAACGTCCTCTTCAGGAACTTAATTGATGTAAAATTGCAAATATAGGGTGTTCGGCCTAAGATCATGCCACATTTTAGCATTGGCTCTGAAAGCATAACATATGTAATATAGAAGAATAAAGACTTTTTATAAAGTGTACCAATGTTAAGTTAATAATCCGACAAAAACAATTTGTTTACTACCTCAAAAAATCGGAAAAACAAAATAAAGAATTGGGCGCAGTTTGGGCAAACGAAAGCTGCACGCCGCGTGTTTAGTTTACTTTGGCCAAATAAGTTCGTCAGCTTGACAAAATACTGCTTTCGACAAGCCAAGAATTCTTTCTTACTCAATCAATTTTAAATCAAATTCATATAAACCTTAGATATATAATTATTTATTCGACTACGACAAATAAGTGCCAAATTAAAAACGAAATATCATAAAGAATACACGGAGACGAACGTAGATCAATACACCAAATAACAATCAACATTTACCAGAATTTAAATTAAATTAGCGCATTTGAATAATGCCGGCCTGACGTAGTTTCATGATTTTCGAAAACACTTCGGGATTTTTCAGATGGTCCTGAACAGCACCAGGATCCGTTGACATTTGTTCCAGAATCATCCGCATCGATGGGTCTCTGAGGATTTCTTGAACTTCCGGATCCTTCAAGGCGGCTTCACGAGCTTTCTCGGGGCTTTCGTCGTTGTTGGTAGCGCAGTTGATCAGACCATCGCGGGCTTCGTTGTTGTTGGGATCGATGGACAAGGCGCTTTCGTAAGCTTTTTGAGCACGGCTGTATTCACGGAGAGCAACAAGGGCAGCACCTTTACGAAGGTAAGCTTTGACTGAAAAATAGATCATGTTAATCTATTGGAAAGCTTCAAAAGCACCAATGTCATTATTCCTGATTAACAACATCAGCTTTCCAAAAAAAATATTCGAAAGTTATTTTAATACGTTTGTACAATCTCTGACTCACTAAAAACGAAAAAAATAAAGAAAATAACTTACTAAACTTAGGGTCGAGTTTTAAGCAGTGTTCACAGTCATCTACAGCTCGGTGGAACTCCATCAACTTGGTGTAACAGGCAGCTCTGTTCGAGTATATAACCGCATTGTCCGGGTTTCTTTTTAAGGCTTCGTTATAGTGCTTAATGGCAGTTGGATAGTCCCCTACACAAGAACATTAAATTACAAACGGCATGAAGAAAAATCAATTAAATGCACGTAAAGTCAACTTCTTAATCTATTTACATAACAAAAACTTCTAAAACAATATCTTACCCTTCTTAAAAGCCTCATTTCCCTTGACCTTTTCCTCCTCACTGATCTCAGGGTTAATGTAAGACTTCTTCTCTTCCTCCTTGATCTCCTGTTCAAGCTTCTTGTGCTTCTTCACCAGCTCGGGGTCTCTATGTTCCGATAACGATTTTCCAAAGTAAAAGTGAGCTTGCTTCTTATCTCCCAACTTCAAGTAAGCGTTTCCCGCCCGAGACAAACCTTTAGCAATAGTGGCAAAGTCGGCACGGTGTTCACGACCAACTTCGACACCTTTTTCACAAGTTTTGATGCATTCTTCGTATTTACCTTCCTCAAAGTATGCGGCTGAAATTGATAATGTCATTACCTTATTATACCATCTCTCGAAATCAAACGCTACCTAAAAATCAATCAGAAAAGTAAAAATCTTACCAGCTTTATTGTTATAGAAGGTCATATTGTTTGGATCCAGCTCGATGGCCTTATCATAATGTTCATGAGCAGCGGCAAACTCCTTTTTCTTGTAGAACTCGTTCCCGAGATTCTTTTCAGCAACAGCCTGAAGAATATTCACGTTGAAAATAAAAAATATATTACATACCAAATAAAAGATAAAATCAAAAACTAAAAACTGTTTTTCATGCAAAATAATGTAAAACAGGCAAAACTTACTTGATCCGCCATTTCTTTGACAGCAAATTACACTCAAATAATGAAAACAAGAACTTGTACTTCTTCTTGTTTCTATGCAATTGCTAGAATAGAAATTTCGTGAGCTATTTTTTTATTCTGGAATTTTCGAGCATTTTTGTAGTTTTCTCCCGCCGCGAAAACAAATATTTGGCATTCCGCTTCAACGGTCTTTTTACATAAATTTGAAGGTCTTTTCAGTAATAAATACAATGCCAAAATCAAAAGTAAATACATATAAAGTTCATTAAAATATAAAAAATGATATTTTAATGTCACATTTATTATAATTTGTACTGATTAATACTTCAGTAGAATAGCTGTTGCTAGCACGCCCGAGTATTGGGAAGTTTGATCAAAATATCGACGCAATTACCTAATATAGATGTCATAACAATATAGCCTTAGAGAAATGGCAAGAAATGGTATTACGCAACTTTTTCTTATGTAATATTAACGATTTATATAATATTTGCCTCGATGTAAAACGACCCACCAAATTACTGCGAGTGCTGGTATATGGTTCTGGTTTTTCTGCGAGGGAATAAATTTTATCTTCTAGGTTATTTAGGAAAATGACTCAGCCTAAGCCTAAATTGGGATAAGCCTAAACCAACCGCTAAGACTCACTTAAGCTTAAAGCATAAGCCTAAATATCCATTTACTTCCAAAAAACAATTAAATAAGCTTAAACTAAAATTGTTGTAAAGTTGTTATACGCTCCTAAGAAGATTACTTAACACGATTAAGAATACACATTGATGTTAGTCGGTTTAAAGACTGTTTTGGTGGTCGAATCTTTTAGTGTTAGTTGATTTTTTAATTTTGCTATTTTCAAAAGGAATTGCTAGGCTTTTTACGAACTAAATTACCCTGCCTGCCATATCCTATTCTTCCCTACCCTTGCTTCCTATATCCTGACCTACCCTATGGCATTTTCGTTTATTTTTTTTAATTTTCAAAATTAAAATAAACATGTTGTTTGTTGTCACTCCTTTTTAACATTAAAGACCAAAGATTTTAACTTTTCTAAAATTTCGAGGTTCTTATCATTACTGATAAAATGAATATTCCTTGTACGTGACCAACTTATAATATTAAAAAAATTTTTAAAAATGTTTGAGCAAATAGTTAAAACCCTTTGGACATACGTCTATCTACTCGTGGAAATGACGCGGAAATATTGGTGTAAAGAAAGTTTTCGCGAGTTTCAATGTGGAAATACGGAAAAGGAGCGGAATGTGGACAAATTTAAAGAAAATGTAAGTTTATATAGAAAAAAATAAAAATTGTGGTAGTAAAACGTAAAAAATTGCAATAACTTTGTTTACAAGACATAAAATGGCAAAAACTTTCTTTACAAAGCAAAAAATGGCAAAGACTTTCTTTACATAAAAAAGTACTTTTAACACAAATTAACATCACATATACCAATTTACCATTTTAGGACCTAGTAATCCTCCAAGGTTCAAGCCACAACGACTCTGTGTTGATGTCTTTATCTGTACAAAAAGATCATGCTCAAGTGTACCTTTGTTTAATTTTAAAAAACAAAAAGTACATTTTTGAAGAATCCTCCCATATTACACATGATGGCACTCAGACGGAAATTACAATAGATGGATTCAGAATCGAAATTCGTGAAGCCTTTAGAAAGTTGAGAGTCACTTTTAGAGGAAATTTAAAGTAAGTTTTTCAGTTACCCAAAATAATAATTGGCACCTAATATTATAAAAACACTAGAATTGTAGAGCCATTATAAAAATTTATTACCTAAACTTATAGAAGCACAAAGATTTTAGCCCGAAAATTTAAGAAATGCTATATTTGTTACCTAAAATTATAAAAAACTTATCTCAAGCCTAACTTTATAGCTGTTACCTAAAATAACAAACACAGTAACATATTAAATCAAAAACGTAAAGATTATGCTTGTTACCTAAAATTCAACATCCAAAAACTTTTCAATTCTGGTGGACAAAAAATTATTCCCTCCAATTTCTTCAAAACCCTATTTTTCCCCAAAAAACAAACCCTTGAAAAAACGCAAAACCCTTTTCAAAATTGAGCCAAAAAATCCAAAATCTCTTTTTTCGATTCGATCCAAATCCCAAAAACAGAAATATTTTCCTCAAAAATCCAAACTTATTATTCCTACCCTGCCACCAGCTTCCGCAGGCCGCAATTCACGAAAACCCGCGAAAAAGCCCCTTTTGGATTTCCACTGCACCGTGCGAAAGAAATAAACAGCTCAAAAATTTCCTTTTTGAAGATCGAAGGATTTTGGACCAATTTGGAGATCTCAAAATCTCAAAAATCGCGCCATTTTTGGTTTTTTCTCTAACCTTCTCTGACCGCACTCGCATGTCGCAGTGGTCTCTTGTTTGTCGCAAACCTGCCTCTCTTGTTTTTCATTGTCGCGCAATCACTTTTCGCGATCCCTCTCATTCTCTGTTCCGATCTCCTGAAGTGCGCGCTCTCTCTTCTTTCCTCATTTGATTGCACGGTGCAGTCGTTTTTTGGTCAAAACCTTTGATTTTGTTCCTCTCAATTTTTCTCAAAAATCGAGCCGAAATTGAAGAAAGTTTTGCGACCGAATTTGGACTTGCACCGTGCAAAGCCGTGAAAGAAAAGAGAGCGCGATTTGAGGAGATCGGGCCGGTGAAAGAGAGGGATCGCGAAAGGTGATTGCGTCATAGAGAAACACAAGGTAAACAGGTTAGCGACAAACAAGAGAACATTGCGACATAAGAGAGTGGTCAGAGAAGGTTAGAGAAAAAACCAAAAATGGCCCGATTTTTGAGATTTTGAGATCCCCAAATTTGTCCAAAATCCTTCGATCTTCAAAAAGCCAATTTTTGAGCTGTTTATTTCTTTCGCACGGTGCAATGGAAATTCAAAAAGGCCTTTTCCGCGGGTTTTCGTGTATTGCGGCCTGCGGAAGCTGGTGGCAGGGTAGGAATAATAAATTTGGATTTGTGAAGAAAATATTTTTGTTTTTTGGGCTTTCAGTTCGATTTATCGAAGTTTGGCTCGATCTAGAAAGGGTTTTGAGGAACTTTTTCGCACAGTGCAGTGGAAATTCAAAAGGCCTTTTCCGCGGGTTTTCGTGTATTGCGGCCTGCGGAAGCTGGTGGCAGGGTAGGAATAATAAATTTGGATTTGTGAAGAAAATATTTTTGTTTTTGGGCTTTCAGTTCGATTTATCGAAGTTTGGCTCGATCTAGAAAGGGTTTTGAGGAACTTTTTCGCACAGTGCAGTGGAAATTCAAAAGGCCTTTTCCGCGGGTTTTCGTATATCATAAGGCCTGCGGAAGCTGGTGGCAGGGTAGGAATAATAAATTGGATTTGTGAAGAAAATATTTCGTTTTTGGGATTTGGATCGAACCGAAGAAAGAGATTTTGGAACTTTTGGCTGGATCTTGAAAAAGGTTTTGAGGAATTTATTTCGCACAGTGCAGTGGAAATTCAAAAGGCCTTTTCCGCGGGTTTTCGTATATTGCGGCCTGCGGAAGCTGGTGGCAGTTTGGAATAAATAATTTTGGATTTGTGAAGAAAATATTTTTGGTTTTTTGGGATTTGGATCGAATCGAAGAAAGAAATTTCGGGATTTTTGGCTCGATATTGAAAAGGTTTTTGAGGAATTTATTTCGCACAGTGCAGTGGAAATTCAAAAGGCTTTTTCGCGGGTTTTCGTGAATTGCATCCTGCGGACGGTGGTGGCAGTTTGGAATAAATAATTTTGGATTTGTGAAGAAAATATTTTTGTTTTTTGGGCTTTCAGTTCGATTTATCGAAGTTTGGCTCGATCTAGAAAGGGTTTTGAGGAACTTTTTCGCACAGTGCAGTGGAAATTCAAAAGGCCTTTTCCGCGGGTTTTCGTGTATTGCGGCCTGCGGAAGCTGGTGGCAGGGTAGGAATAATAAATTTGGATTTGTGAAGAAAATATTTTTGTTTTTTGGGCTTTCAGTTCGATTTATCGAAGTTTGGCTCGATCTAGAAAGGGTTTTGAGGAACTTTTTCGCACAGTGCAGTGGAAATTCAAAAGGGTCTTTTCCGCGAGTTCTAAATTTAGGTAATAACGCATTATCCATATTTATTTTGAATTTTTGTAATAAAGTCTTTGCACGATTAATATTTTGTCAAATTTTAGAGCTGAAGGCAGTTCAGAGGTTGAGTTTGTTCATCTACAATCATGGTGGGGGCCAGTTTCGGATGGAAGTTTTGTGTTTTCAGAGATTCCAAAACGAATAAAAGCTAGTTTAAAGGCGGACAAGTTATGGAACAATCAGGAATTGTGAGTATATTAGGGTAGGGTGGGAGAAAATCGGGTAGAATTGGGGGGTTGAGATAACGACATGGGTTGATGGTAGGTTATAAGTACTGGTAAAGGTAAGAGGAAGGGCAAAGGCAGTAGTTAGGGTAAGGGAAACGACAGGGATAATGTTAAGAGTATGGGCAAAGGTAGACGGAGAGATAGCTAAAATTTTAATATTTACTGTACCACACTGTGATTTAGTGACGAAAACGAGACGTTTTATCAATTCGGAGTGTTAAGAGCACGCTGGAGAACGGAAGAGAACGATTGGAATGAACAAGATTTTAGAGGTTTTCGGATGAAATTGTCTCGTCCGAAGGATACAAAGCTTAGTGTAAATACGTTTTACACTTTGTATACTAAGGTAATAATGACTTATTCAATAGAAAGTTGTGTTTTACAATTTTATAGTACCTTATGGCTAATATATTGAGGGTACTATACTATTTCTGTTAATATATTAGTACTGGTACTGCCAATTTTAACGGTTGTTTTGTTACCTAATGGCACCATTTCAGAACGGAAACCGATCAATGTTCTTTTTTCTAAGCCACTCAGATCGGAAACAGTTTATCGAGTATGGTAAATCATTAAAACCGGATCATAAAGTCGAATTCTGGGCTAGTTCACCTCCAGAACCGAGTATTAACATAGGTATAGAGGATATCAAGTTCAATTCTGGAGACAATTTGATCCTTAAAACGAATAAATTAAAGTACAAAGAAGACCGTGATCTCATCGTGACTTTGAACACATGTGAGGAGGTGGCATTTAAGGACGACAAAGTTTTTGGTAGGTTTTGGGGAGGAGGCTTATGGTAAGGTAGGGTAAGAAAATATAGAAAAAGAAGAGAGAGTAAGGTATTTTACGGTTGGGTAGACTAGAGTACGGCCGGGTAAAATAGGGTAGGGCGGCTTACGGTAGTGTAACGTAATTTAGGCTAAGGAGAGTAGCTCAGGGAAGAGTATGGTAGGCTAGAGTAGAGTAAGACAGGCTGAGATTTCCTACAGTAATATAATGGTCAACAGTAGCTTTTTCTAGAATACGAAGCATCAGAAGCCGAAAAACAGCAGCTTATTACCTCATTTTCTAACTTTTCCTGTATGGATTCGAGAATTTCTGGCGGAAAAGCTTCGAATCTGGCCAAATTAAATGGATTTCAACGTAATTTCAAAGTCCCAAAAGGCCTAGCAGTTTCTGTAAATGCTTACTTACAACACTTGGAAGAGAATCATGATATCAAAAATTTTGTAAATGTCATAAAACTTTGTAGTTTTACTGCTGAGGAGATTGAAAATCGGTGAGTTGTGGTTGCTTTGGCTTTTGCTCTGCTTCTATTCGTTATACTTATACCTAGCTTTATTTTACTGTGCCTTACCTTCTTCTGCCGTACTCTGATTTACGTTATAATACCTCTAATTTTAAAATTTCAGAGCCACCTCTTTGTTTTTGTCGTCAAAACTGTCAAAGACGACGAAAAATGCTTTAATCGATCAGTTGAACTACATTTTCAATAACACCGACAATGTCAGATTTGCTGTCCGATCATCGGCGATTGGCGAAGATGGAGCTGAAATGTCATCAGCAGGCCAATTGGAGTCATATTTGAATCTAAAATACGATGAAATTGAAGAAAATGTTTTGAAATGTTGGTCTTCTAATTTTAGGAAAGAAGTCGTCAATTATAGGAGGTAGGGTAATATAAGTTTTTGGGTAGGGTAGGGAAAGGTAATGTGGGGTAGAGGTTAATTTAAAGCGATAAGAATTCTTAAAATTTCAGAGAGCATGGTCAAGATCTAAACGTTCCTGTAGCCGTAGTAGTACAAGAGATGGTATCCGATGGTGTATCTGGAGTTATCTTCACTGTTGATCCAATATCATTAAATTCGAATCATATGGTGATTAATATGGTTGAAGGTTGTGGAGAAGACCTAGTCAGTGGACATAAAACACCAACTCAAGTTGTATATCATAAAATCAAAAATGAAGTTTTAATACAGGTAAGGGGCAAGCCTATCTTCTGTTTGTTGCCTTGAATTACACACAGAAGAGTCAGAGGCAAAGGAAGTGGTAGGGCATGGTACGGTAGGATAGGGCATGGGACGGTAGGTTAGAGTAGGGTAGGGTAATGTAGGGTAGGGTAGGGTAAGTGTAAAAAATTATTTGTTTTTAATTTTAAAAAAGTTACAAAAAATATTTTTCAGCAAGGACCATCCTTAATATCTCCATCACTCGTATCAAAATTGGTCCTAATTGGTACCTCATTAGAAGACTATTTTAAATACCCGCAGGATATTGAGTTTGTACTGAAAAAGGACACGATATACATTGTCCAAAGTCGAAACATTACAAATTTGAATAATGAATCCGATTGGGAGTTGCAACATGAATTTGACAGTTCTCCATTGACCGACTTTCAAGCTTACTCGACTGCAAATGTTGGTGAAGTCTTGAGCCAACCGTTTGATGTTGTGGATGCTACTGAGACAGTTTACATGTTAAATCATGCATTGGTTGTAAGGTTTTGGTTTTTATGGGTATGAGGGTCCTTTCGGTAATATAGAAGTAACTTAGAGTAGGGTAAAGTAGGGCAGGGCGGTGCAAGACCAGGCATGGAAGGGCACTGTAGGGTATGGGCTGGTAGGAAAGGACAGAGGAAGGGAGAGAAGGACAAGACAAGACGAAGCACAAGGCAGGGTAAGGTACGGTTTGGTAGAAAAAGGCAGGGTAAGGTAGGGAATGGTAAGGTTTTGTAATACAAGGGAAATTATCGTATGACTGGTTCGGCTGCTGTAATTTAATGTACCTTTTAGAGAGCAATAAAGACGATAAATGGCCTTGCCGACCCGATACCTCGGCATACACAAACCAAAACTACAGTATACGACAACCGGTCGTTTCTGGATATTATGGAGGTCAGTCAATACTACAAATTTTGGCATAATACAATTTTTTAGAATTTTGACAATTTGGTACTGGGTTATCTTTTGGTATTAATAACAGTTTTTTTTACTAGTACTACTACTACCTAAAGTACAAAAAAATTTAAAACTTGTTGTTACAGTGCCACCTGAATGATTGGCAAACCTGCATCGATGACACATCACATCAAATAATACTGGCTGGAACAGTATTCATCACGGACGAAATGATAGAATTAGCCAAAACCAGATATCCAAAAAAGACTGGAAAAGACAAGCTTAAGGCAATGTATAGTATTTACAAAGTGAGGTTTTGAAATGTAAGCCTCCGGCTAGGACTTAAGCTTATTACGTCTGAGTTTCTTAAGGCTAAGCTCACTAAGCCTAAGCTTACTAAGCTTGTTTACTAAGTCGGTTTACTAACGCTTTTCCTTTTTAAGCCTACTATGTCTAGACCAACTAATGTTAGGCTTATACCTATACTAAGTGCACACTTCTAGTATAGTGTCACATCTAGGATTTGTTCATAAAAAACGATCAAAATGTTTGCGGTATTACCTAATATCGCTGACATAATTGGATAGCCTTAGAGAAATTGCAAGAAATGGTGTTACGCAACGTTTTCTTATGTAATATGTCGTATTTACATAATATTTGCCTCGATGTAAAACGACTCAACAAATGACTGCGAGTGCTGGGACCTGGCTACCTTTTTCTGCGGGGATTACATTTACTTGCCGCGCTTTATGAATACATAACGCTGTTTTCTACTATATGTCATCGTTATTAGGCCTACAGAGCGGTCATGTGCTAAGCTTTAACTAAGACTAGGCTAAACCCAAGCTACGCCTAAAGTTAAGCCTAAATCAAGACTTACTGAGAACACACTTAACGTTAAGACTTATTTTGGGAGACTAATACGCACTTTTCAGCTAATCAAAAAAGACAGTAAAAGATGTTTGGAAGAGATGATAGAGACATTAGACGAGATGAAGGTAGCTGCTCATGGTAACGATTTGAGGTCATGGTTAACGACAAATAACGTTCTTCGAGAATACTATGCTAAACTGATGTATCATCACAGTTATTTGTCAGCATTTTCTAGTGTGATGTACTCTTTTGTAGCTATGGCTTTGAGAGGGACCTCTAGTAAGTTTTTGAGAGGTTTAATACTATTAGTACATTTAGTACTTTAAGTATTAAAAAATATGTGAAGTATACGTTTTTTTTGGAATTTGTAATATTAAAAAAGTACTATAGTTGATATTTTTGGTACTAGTAGTACCAAAAAGTGCATCACAAAATTTTTTTGAAAATTTTTAAAACCATTATTAATCATTCTGAAAACTATTTATTTTGAAGGTACTAGTAGTACCAGAGGTACTAAAAATTGTACTAAAACTATTTTTTTGTTCAAAATTGAATTCAGTGCCATTTTTATTTGATTTTTTAGCTGGAACATTGTCATCAGACGTTTTAACGGCTATAGCTACTGTCTACAGCAATAACCTTTTACCGATTATCAGTGGTGATATTCCTGTAGCTTTGAAGGTAGGTATTATGGGAAACTATAGTACGTTTTTTGATGATTCCAGGACATAGCTTTAGCCCTAAAAACCAACGTCAATCTTCTGCACGTTCTGAACAGTAATATCAAGTCCAATTTTGAAAAAGTGAAAATTTTAAAATCAGATGACGGTGAAGTCGGTTGCAAAGTAAGAGAATTCTACCGTAAACATGGCCATCGTGGATTGTATGAGCTTCAGATGCAGGGAATACCGTGGAACGATGATCATGATAATTTTGTTGCTACTGTTATGGTATGTTGATTTTCTTTAAGTTAGAGGTAGGGTGAGTTAGATTTAAGGGTCAGGGTAAGGTAGGGTAGGGTAGGGTAAAGTAGGGTAGGGTAGGGTAGGGTAAGGTAGGGTAGAGTAGAGTAGAGTAAAATAGAGTATGGAGTAGGTTTAGCTAACAAGGGAATTGCACCAAATATTCCTCGGCTTTTTGAACGATACCTATATAGGATGAAAGGGCATAAAAAATTATCGGGAAAACTGTTTTCAAAAACTGCTAAATAGATTCGGCTAGCGAGATATTAGCGATTAAAGGATTTACATAGGGTGTTCTATTTGATCCTTCTCATTCGTCTTGAGCAAAACGAATGGATTGAAGCTTCAATCCAGTTTGGTCGAGTGGTTAATAAGTTAATCTGGGGTGCAAAAGGGAGGAAGTTCGAATCCTGCCGATTTCATTTTGGCGCTCAGCCATACTGACAGGAATTTTTGGCTAGCCATACAATATTTTGATTGAAAAAATATTTTTTAAATTGTATTTTTTGCTTTTAGACACTTTTAGAAAAAAATAGTTATCAAAGAATATCATTTTTTGAACTTTAAAGCTATACCCTTTATACATATAAGGATATAAAGCATATTGTAACTCGCTAGCCAAGTCCATTTACCAGTTTTTGAATACAGTTCTTCCGATAACTTTTTATGCTCTTTCATCCTATATAGGTTTTGTTCAAAAAGCAGAGGGATATTTGGTGCAATTCCCTAGTAAGGCAAAGTAAAAATGATTTTCCATTTTCAGAAGCTAGTGTCAGATCCAAACTTTGCTCCAGAAGCGCCAAAGACTTTGATAACTGACATTGACGAACTAATTGACAGTTTGAAGATGAATATTACTGGAGTTCGGCGAAGATTGTTAAAATTTTTAATTCCGCACGCTTTCAAAGCTGTGTTTTATCGAGAAGAAGCCAAAAGCATGTTGGTGTATGGCTCTTATTTGGTTCGAAATTCTTATAAAATGATTGGAAAGATAATGAAAGAGCAGGTAAGGGGTGGGGCTAGTTGTACTACTGCTATCAAAAACAAAAAAAAAACGAAAAATTGCTTAAAAATAAAATTTTAAGTAGTTTTATAATTTTTAAATTTTTTGGTACTAGTGGTACCAGTTGTACCAAAAGGAGGACCAAAATCTGGTACTCTTTTCAAGGGTTGAAAAAAAGCTATTATTCATATTTTTTAGCATTACCTTCAAGATGAGAAGTGGATATTTTTCTTGACGATAAATGAAGTCCATTCCATAGTCAATAACGTACAACAAAAGCATGTCATCAGCGGCCGAGCACGACGACGGTTACGGTTATTTAACAGTACAGAGAAAGTACAGTATCCGTTGATTTCGCTTGGTACACCGAAACCTTATGTGGGTTTGAAAAATTGATGGTTAGGAAAAATGATGTTTGGTTTTTTGGTACTAGTTGTACCAGTAGTACCAAAAAAGTGTACTAAAAACGTTTTTTTAGAAAATTTGAAAAAATTGGTGTTCAAGTCACATAAATTACAAAAGAAATATTTTAGGTACCGTCACAGCCGACTGGAGGTGTAGTACTAACTGGTACCGCAGTTTGTGAAAGAAGAGTTAAAGGCCGAGCACGTGTGGCCAAGACCCTAAAAGATGCTCAGAACATCACGTCAGATGAGATCTTGATCACAACTAGTACTGACATTGCCTGGAGCCCCTTGTTTCCGGTAATCAAAGGTTTGGTCACGGAAATTGGTGGATTGTTGTCTCATGGTATGTTATAGGTCAAGTGGTACTATTGGGTGAATTGTAGTAAAAATGGTACTGTTGGGTAAATTATAGTAAAAAATGGTACTATTGGGTGAGTTATAGTAACAATGGTACTGTTGGATGAGTTATGGTAAAAAATGGTACTATTGGGTGAGTTGTAGTAAGAAATTGTACTATTGGGTAAGTTTTAGCAAATATGGTACTATTGTGTAAGTTGTAGTAAAATTGGTACTGTTTGGTAAATTATAGTAAAAATGGTACTACTGGGTACGTTTTAGTATTAATAATACTATTAGGTCTGTGAGCACGGCCGATTGGGAACTGGATGCTTAGGAAAAGAGAGGGCGGACTATCATTAGTAGGTGGGGCCAAAAAGGTAAAAAAGCTGTTTTTTAGGTAATACATTGATATTTTCAGGCTCTGTGGTAGCTCGAGAATATGGATTGCCATGTGTTATTGCTGTTCAAGGTGCTACTGATGTTATTAAAACTGGTAAGAACTATTGTTTTTATGAAAATTTAAGCAGGCTAGGGTAGGGCGATGTATGGTAGATACTTGGGTGTGAAATGACAATTTTAGGTAATAAAAAGTGTTTTTAATTTTTGAAATTTTGGGTAGGGTAGGATAGAGCAGGGGATGGTGGATTAGAGTAGTATAGAGTAGGGTTGGGTAGAGTAAGGTAAGGTAGGGCAGGGTACGGTAGGGTAGGGCAAGGTAAGATGGGGTAGAGTAGGATAAAATAGGATAGTGTAGAGTAGGGCAGGTTAGTATAAAGTAAGGTAGGTTACGGTAGAGCTAGCTATGGTTTGAAGAAACTAAGACTAAAATTCTATAATGCTATAAAATTTTTAGGTGATCACGTACTGCTGGATGCCTTTAATGGTACCCTGCAACGGATATCAACTGATTTTACAAATGGAGTTGTAAACCATAATTAGTAGCATTATTTTTTGTTAAAAAACTTATTTTACAATTTTAAAATAAATTAAAAAAATTTTATTTTGGTCTTTATTTTTAACACCATAAGGAAAAGTCAAACCCTACCCTTTGGCATGTGAAAAATTGTCTAAAATCTCTTTTTTTTAATAAATTTTATCACGAAAAAGCGAAGGGACTTGACAAAAATTGTTATTTTTCAAAACCCAATCAAAAGCCAAGTGATAAAAACGTGAAATTTGTTTTCTCTGCGACAGACTTTGTGTCCACCGTCAGAGAGCTGAATTGATTTCCTCTCGGGACTAAACGGTTAGACTTCAGGGGCGGCTGAAACTCAGTTGACCTATTTTTGGAAAAGATCTCAAGGGTTTTACTTGGGGTCTTTATATCTTTTTATTAACATAGACTATTTGAAGAATTCTTTTGATGTTCTTGGTTTTTAAAGAATGTTTTTTGCTTTAAAATTATTAAAAATGGCAACTACTCTTTATACAAATTTTTTTGTGACAAGAACTTTCTTTACAAAATTGAAATGGCAAAAACTTTTTTTACAACACAAAAATGGTAAGGACTTTCTTTACAAAACCAAAAATGGCAACAACTTTCTTTACAAAACGAAAAATGGCAAGAACTTTCTTTACAACACTTAAAATGGCTAGAACTTTCTTTACAAAACAACATGTTATTGATCGTATGACATATCCCGTGCAGGTCACAAAAATAACTTTATATCTATTTATTGGCTACAAATGTTAAAGTAAAGGTTCGATTCAACGTCGATTTCTGCATTCACATTCATCATGACCGAATTGTGAGTAATAAACACACTTCCCATAATCATAGTTCCATCTTTGTTGACATTCACTATCACAAGTCGATGGGTCACAATCTGAAAATGAGGAAATGTTAAGATATTTAGATGGTGAGGCAAGTTTAGGGCGAGATATGGATAGTAGAGTGGGATGAGATAGGGTAGGGTACAGTAGAGTAGGATGAGATAGGGTAGGGTAGGGTAGCGGGAGTAGAATAGGGAAAAACAGAAGAGTGTGCTAAAACCAAAAGATAAATCTTTGACATTACCATCTCCGTTGATTACAGTGAACAACGTAAGTATAAAAGCCAATATTATCAAACAATTCTTCATATTGAAAGCCAAAAATGACTGTTTTTCATAAAATTTTTGTTTAAAAATAAAACAAAATTATAATAATATCATTTTTGTTTATATTTACGGATTGAAATGGTAGGTTTTTTGAACTTTTTATTGAATTTTATGTAAAAAAATAAACTTTTAGGGAAAATTGCGGCTTGTAAAGAAAGTTCTGACCATTTCTTGTTTTGTAAAGAAATTCTTGCCATTTTTTGCCTTGTAAAGAATGTTCTTGTTATTTTTTGCTCTGTAAAGAAAGTTCTTGATATTTTGTTTTAAAAAAGTTTTCAATTTAATTTTTTCTTAAATATAAACCAAATTTAAGTCCAAAATCCCCGCCATTGGGTCGAAAGAAGATGCTAAACCGTTCGATTCGATCGAAACCTACCTGTTCTCAGCCATGTTCGTCATAATGTTCGTGACATTGGTTTATGTTGCATTGGCAGTGTTTTCAGTACGTGTAGAGTATTTAAAGGTAAGTGTATTGGTTCAAGGCTGTATATTATACTTGTATTTTATTTTTTTAGTTAACGGGTACTAGTAGTACCAGTGGTCAATCGTACTATTAGTACTAAAAATTTTTTACGTTTGAATTTACCTAAAAATGATATTTAATAGGTGATTTTAGTTTAATTAAATTTTTTTGACCAGTTGTACAATTGGTACCAAAAAAGAGTACCAAACGTATTTTTGCTTAAAGTAGTGCAAAAAGAGAGTTTAAATCTAAATTTTACAAATTTAATATTGCTACTAGTAGAAATAGAGATTTGAACACAATCTTATACCTATTTTAATAACTTTTTACCTATTTTCAGTTCAAGAAGAGGAAAGAAATCGAAGAAAAGACGCCAGAAACATTGACAATAATGGATCCAGAGTAATTTGTATAACTCATAATATTATATTGTTGTACTAATAAATTGGTTTTTACTGTTAGTGATGTTTGGAAATGACAGTATTTAAATTATTATTTCTTTTGTTGTGCTACAGTTTTTAAAGGTACGTAGAATGAATTACGGTAGAAGACAGTACGGTGCGCCGCGGTCGGGTAAGGTAGGTTAAAGTATGATAAGGAAGGTAGGGTAAAGCAGGGTAGGACAGAACAGGGCAAGGCATGCAAGAAAAGGCTGGCTAGGGTAGGGTAAGGAAAGGTAGGATAAAGGTAGAGTAAAGTAAATTTCGATTTTATTGCATAACATATGCTTAAAAATATTATAATATTGATCTACTACAATATAATGTACAAACATCTCTATTCCTCGTTGGTCGCATTGAATTTGTATTGGATTTTGAGTGTGTGAATCCAAGCATGTTGATTTGAGAACCATAAACGATAGGTTCCGGTCTTGGGACAAATGATAAAGTCGGTTAATGGAACATAAGTAGGGCCTGGGACCTTCTAAAAACAAAATTTTTAAATTTTGGTTATGTAAAGAAAGTTTTTGCCGCTTTATGTTTTGTAAAAAAAGTTCTTGCCATTTTTTGATATGTAAAGAAAGTTTTTGCCATTTTTTGTTTTGTAAAGAAAGTTCTTGCCATTTTTTGTTTTGTAAAAAAAGTTTTTGCCATTTTTCATTTTGTAAACTAAGTTCTTGCTATTTTTGTTTTGTAAACAAAGTTCTTGCCGTTTTTCCTTTTGTAAAGAAAGTTATTGCCATTTAATAAACTTGCATTAAACCTAGGATAGACGGCTGTCATTAAATCGACATTTTCCAACTTCGGATCCTCTGAAAAGTAGATTCCATAAGCAAAATTGCCATCAGCACTGAACTCCCATTGAAGCTTCTGGCCTTTTTCAGCTTCTACGGCAATTGATCCAACACTCGAAGCCTTGACATAACAGATCTGGCTATCTTTTGGTGGTCCACCTGTGTAGTATCCTTCTTTTGGGAATGGTACTGCTTTCTTGATGTCCGCTTTAAATACCTAAAAGTGTGGTTTTTAGTGCCAACACAAAGGTAGGGTCAGGTAGAGCAAGTCTTAAGTAAAGCTAAGGAATAGGGTTAGGGCTAGAGCTAGGGCTTGGGCTTAGGCTAGGGCTTAGGTTAGGACTTAGATTAGGGCTTAGGCTAAGGCTAGGGCTTAAGCTTAGGCTAGGGCTTAGGCTGGGGCTTTGGCTAGGGCTTAGGCTAGGGCTTAGGCTAGGGCTTAGGCTAGGACTTAGGCTAGGGCTAGAGTTAGTGATCGAGCTAGGGGTATAGCTAGAGTTAGGGCTAGTGCTTATTGAATTTTTTTTGTTTTTTTTTGTAATAGTGGTACCATTAGTACTAACAGTGTGCTTAAAAAGCAAAAAATTTTTCAGCAGTACCAGTAGTACCATAAAAAGAAGCATCAAAAATTTGCCAAAAGTACAAAAAAGATACCAAAAGCAACCTTAAAAAAAATTGTGAAAAAAAATCCGGCTAGCATACCTCTTTTCCCTCCTCATTCCAAAAAGCCGGCAATGCCTCAGGGTCAGCCATTTCCAAGATCTCTTCCCTCCAATTCGAATCCAAAATGACAACTTTGTTGCGGGTTCGAGTTGGCAACAAAGGCTTGGCAATGTTCCAAATAAAACTAATGAAATGTGGCACGTTGACGAGTACGAAACTGTGAATCATCTCGACGTAGTGCTCTGACATAAAGGCGGAAATTGAAGCTAGAGCTCCACTTAGAAGAGGAAGGAGGTTCTTGTCGTATTTTAGGCCTTCAAGGTCCATTATGTACATTATTGAGGCTTGTTCACCTGGAAAGAAATACTTTACGTTTTTTTGGTTGTGAATTAAGGTACTTGTCATTTTTGTTTTGTAAAGAAAGTTTTTGTCATTTTTTGTTTTGTAAAGAAAGTTCTTGCCATTTTTTGTTTTGTATAGAAAGTTCTTGCCAATTCTTGTTTCGGAAAGAAAGTGCTTGTCATTTTTTAGTTTGTAAAGAAAGTTCTTGCATTTTTTTTGCATTGTAAACAAAATTCTTACCAGTTTTCTTTTCCAACTCCATGACCTCATGAAGCATGACCTCAAGATCATAAACCCTAGCCTTCATGATTTCATTAAGCGGGTAGGTGTACAACATGCCCCAGTAGTCATTACTGCCACTTTGTTCGATATTAATAAAGGTATTTGGGGTTTTTTTGGCCAGTCCACCTAAACCAGCCTGCCAATGTGAGTGGATCTTGTGGTCTCTAGGCTTCTGATGAGCCGTGTCCAAGTCCCAATGACTTTTTCGAAATGTCAAATGATTTCTAAGTTTTGGCACGATTTCATTAAAATTGTGGTTGTGACCTTTTAGCCAGCGGAGAAGATTGAAGTCAGTGTCATAGTAGGGGGTGAGCTAAAACGTATCAAATGTATGGCAGATGGATAAAGTAAAGATAGGGTCGGGGAAAGGGTGAGTGTAGGAGTGGGGGGGGTTAGGGTAGAAGTAAGAGCAAGATAGGGGGGGGAGGGTAGGAGTAGCAAAAAATAAAAAATTTAAAATTTTCTTTTATGTGTTGTAAAGATTTTAAATTTCTTCTGTAAATAAACATCCTGTAAAGAAAGTTCTAAAAAAATGTCACTTACATCATCCTTGACCAGCTCCCTCAACTTCTTGATATCGGCCAAATCACTTTCGGAAATTGCCATTTTCGATCGTCACCTGATCCGAGTCGAAAAAACTTTGGTTCCAACGTCGTTTTCGAACCAAAACAATTGACAATCTTTATTTTCGAAAAAGGAAAAAAAACTTTTTCGATTGGAATCAAGAAAACTGAATCCCGCGCGCCACTCTTTTTCGCAAATCATATTCGGGTCACTTTTTCACCGCTTTTTCCGACTTCAATTTGTCGCCGCAGGGCGTTTTGACCAAAATAAATTTGTTTTTGAACCGGTGAGTGGGAAAAAACGGCAAGGATTTTGTTTACAAGGGAAAGGATCGCAAGAAATTTCGTTGCAAGACGCAAAATGGCAAAAACTTTCTTTACAAACCAAAAGATGGTAAGAACTTTCTTTACAAAACACAAAATGGCAAGAACTTTCTTTACAAATCAAAAAATTGCAAGAATTTTCCTTACAAGCTACAAAATAGCAGAAACTTTCTTTACAAATCAAAAAACCGCAAGAACTTTCTTTACAAAACAAAAAATCCCTTTTCGTATAACCTATCACCCCAGGCCGCAAAATTAGGCTTATAATACAGATTTATTAAGTAGTCTTTCAAAATAAATGTCAATCAAAAAAATGGCTACCCGTTCGTGTGATACGAGCGTTACAATACCACAAATATTTAATACAGCTGCAAAGACATTAAAATCAACTATGAAACACATAGAAATAGGTTTTCTTGTACCTGGACAATATTATATGCTTTAGAAATTTACATTAATACACGATATCACCACGGTAAAAACTTGCATTCAAAATAATGAGCATAGTACTATCAATAGACTAGGTAGTACTATGAATTTAGTACCATTAATTCAATTTTAATACGATTTACCCCAAATTTAGCACAATTAGTTTAAGTTTAGCCTGGTTGATCCTAAATTTAGTACCCTTAGTCCCCTTTTAGTACTGTTAGCTAATTTTATCTTACAAAACCAACTTTAAAACCTTAAGACAAATAATTGATATCAATTTTGATAACCAGTAGCCAATATAAACCTTGAAAAACCAGTAAATGATATCAATCCTGCCAACAATAAGCTGCTCTACTCATAACCATGTAATCCAGCTCAACTCTCCTATAATCAGCTTTAAGACAAGTAGTTGAACTTGTTGATATCGGCCGGATCCCTCTCTATGAACTGTTGTTCAATCAGCCATTCCACCTGCTCCTTGACCATCTTCTTCGATGGTACGAACATATTCTTCAGTACGTCCATCACATTGTTGTACAGATCGATCTGATTGATGGTTCGATGGATTTTCATGCATTTAATGACGGCTTCTTGAGTACGATACTCTCTTAGCCGTAGGATGTCTTCGTGTTCTTCTTCCGCCGCGTTCTCCGTGGCTATGATCAGTCGGCTGACCAGGTTGATTCGGCCTCTGAGTTGGGGTTTGTCGTTTTTGATGACCGCGAACTTTTGGTTGATCCAGAAAAGGGTGGAGTCGGTAAAGTTCTTAGGATTGGGTTGTTGACAGTCCGTTGCTAGAACTTGCATTTTGATCTTTGGGTTGAGGAGTAGACTCTTAAACAGACATATTAATAGTTTTCTCGTATTTTACAACAAAAACTCCTTTACAAAACAAAAAATGGCAAGAACTTTTTTTACAGCACATAAAATACTAAAACTTTCTTTACACGCCAAAAAAAAATAATTATTACCCGCAAATTCAAAACTCAGCTTTTTAGGTAACAAATACCAATATCTTATATAAAATAAAATTTATTTAAAAAGTCACTTACAGCCAAAGTCCGTCTCAAGTCTGGATCACTCAGCTCCGTAGCCAATCGAATCGCTTCGTAGCTCAACTTCTCCTTTGGCCGATCGTTCCAAATAAATAGAACGGCCATTTGATGTGCCGACACTTCCAAATCAAACTTTCCGGCTTCATTCTGAAATCCAATAAGACCAGTAGACCACGAATGAGCCCAGTTCAGTTTACGGCCGACGTGTTGTTTCTTGTAAAAGTCCTCAATCTCTGGTATGATATCGTCGATTTCGCGAGGTAATGTGATATGCGCCTTCTCTCGACCTCTGCCCCAGGCTCCGGCGTTCAGAATCTTTAGATTGACATTTTCGGCCGTGCCTCGGATATTGTTATTGGCTCCGATTGATTTTTTGAATGCGGCTGATAGGTCTTTGTTTACTTCAATGTCTTGCAACATACGATAGAGGCGGTTGACATAGTCCGTAGGCATACCATTGTCCTGAAAACATTTTTTAAAAATTTTTTGAACTTATGTTGCATTTTTAGTTTCTGTAAAGGAATTTTTTGTTTTGTAAAGAAAGTTCTTGCCGTTTTTTGTTTTGTAAACGAAGTTTTTGCCATTTTTTCTTCTGTAAAGAAAATTCTTGTTATTTTAAACCTTGTAAACAAAGTTTCTTTCACTTTTCACCAAAAAACTATCTTACCCTAAACATTTTGACCAAATTCTCCTCCTTCTCCTGATCGGCAGTCAATTCTGATATCAACCTTCGACTCAAATGGTTCTTGTGGTACCTCATAAACACGTCCTTGCTTCCAACGTACTTCAACAACAATAACACCTTGTTCAGTCGTTCATCAATCTCTTCCGATGTCAACTTCTTACTTAACGCCGACTTTCTCAGCAACAAGTCGCAGTAATTGGCCAGTAGCTCGGGACATTTCGATTCTGGAGATGAGCGGTTCGGTCGATGCTTGGCCCCAATCAGTTCCAGCTTGAAAACGTCGGTATTGTTGATGACATCTTGGAAGGATTTGTCACGGACGGTGAGGAATCTTGAGTCGTCGCAGAAGGCTTCGTGGACTAGCTTTGAGAATCGTTCATACATTGCTAGCAGTTGTTCTACGTACTTTTCTGAGTCCTAAAAACAAATTTTTTAAATTTTTTGCAGTACGGGGATAACATTTTATACGATGATCCAGAATTTGTTTTGTAAAGAAAGTTCTTGTCATTATTTGTTTTGCAAAAAAAGTTTTTGCCATTTTTTATTTCGTAAAGAAAGTTTTTGCCATTTTTAATTCTGTAAAGGAAGTTTTTGCTATTTTTTGCTTTGTTAAGAAGTTCTTGCCGTTTTTCGTTTTGTAAAAAAAGTTCTTGCCATTTTTCATTCTGTAAACAAAGTTCTAGCAATTCCACTTACATTAACAATAGTTTGAGCATTTTCCTTCATGGTTTTCAATCCTTCGCTCTTAATATGTTCAGCTAATGTGTTCAATAGAGGTTTGACTCCATTTTCCGGCTTTGTCACTAATCCGTACAGCATTCTCAACCCTTAAATAGCAGTATATTATCCAAATAAAAAGAAAATTATATTTTTCTTTAGAAAGCGTACCTAAAATTAACTAAAATAAAGCGTTCTTCATTAAAAACCTCATTTTAAGTAACAAATTTCTTAAACTCCGCGTTTCCAGTAAAAAAGCAAACATAAACAACCTCATTATCAATAAAAATTTATAAAAACTCAAAAACCAAAATAAAAACGGCAAAAACTTACTTTCGACATCGTTCTGTTGAATCAAAGCCGACCCTTCAGCTAACAAAGCTTCCAAATAATCGACCACCAATATTTTCACCGTAGCTTCGCCTAACCGCGAATGAGATGATGGGTCCAAGTATTTTTTCGCTCTTTCCTCCTCTTCTTGCACCTTCTTATAGGCGTAGGCCATGTATTGCAATATACCACCATCTTTTAGAACCTGAAGTAACATAAAGTTAGTGTTGTTATCTAAATTTTAATTTTTTAAAATATTGTTACGTAAAGTATATTTTTTTTTAAAAATTGTTACCTAAAAAATTAATTTTTAAACATTTTTTTGCTGCAACTTCAAAATACTAACCCCAACTCTTCATTTTACATTTCAAAACCCTTCTATCTACCAAAAAAACCCAAAATCCTACCTGACAAGCCCTTTCCTTGTAAAACTGTTGCAATGAATTAATGTACTGAGTTTCAAAAAACTTTTTGTACAACAATAACGAAGACGTATCTCCATGACCAGCATTGACAAAGCCTTCTCTAACCCCCACCACCAACTCTGACTTTGTTATGGCATTTCCATTACGCTCCTCGGCGATCAAATGATTAGCAGCGGCCAAAAGTCGTTGATGAATTCCTTCAAAAACAGTCTCATTCCACAATGTATACATAACATTCCGTACTGTAAACAACGTGTCTGCATGTCTTCCTTCCGTCCGTGATACTCCATTGGGCGTTCGGTTCACGCCTCGTTCAATGAAGGCAAATGGAGTTGGGAGATGAATGATCAACACTGAATAATTAGACCATTCGTAAACGTAGGCTTTTAAGAGCTCGGAATCAGATTGGTTTTGGTGAATTCTCTAAAACATAATCAATTATCAATTAAATTTTTCCAAAAATATCAAGAAAATAAGGCTAAAACTAAAATGCGCATCAAATATAACATAGTTGAAACGTTTTGATATAACGAATAACTCAAAATTATCTATAATAGTTTGCTTTTAACGGTTTTTAAACACAGTATGCATAAAATCTAGAAGTAACCTTTTCAAAGCACAAAAATAAAGAAAAAATACCAAAGTGTAACATCCTAAAAATTTTTAGCTATAACTCAAGAAATAACAAAGAAACCTAAACCAAAATACCTAAACCATGTATTTTTACTTTCTTAAGCTTTCCAAAACATAAAACACAAAAATTTCCTCAAAAACATCACGATTTTGCTTTGTTAACCTATGACAATATAATTCTTGTCCAAAAACACACAAAAGCCATATGAAAACCTATTCCATGCTTTTCATAACATTCATCCTTCTTTTCCGCAGCTTTTAAGACCAATAATCTCACCTTAGCAGCATTATCAACATGATTCCGAAGCACTTCTTCCAGCGCCCTCAACAATAACGAGCTGCCATTCGGTACCCATGATGTTATTCGATTGCTTATTGCAAATAGATCCTGCCATTCTATCTTGGACACGTTCTAAACACATAAAACACAATAATCGTAAAGACTCACCTCTCGTTCCAACAGTTTTCGAACAATTTCAAGAGCTGGGGCCCATTCTTCCCCGAAACCACCGGATTTCTGAGCCAAAAGCATTAAAAGCTAAACAAAATTAAGAAAATAAGATAGGAAAAACAATATAAGAGGTTATGACTCGTGTATATACGTATATAGACACAATCTCCACCCACTTTGAGATTTTACCGAATTTTCGCTGATTTTCTTGTGAGACGAAGTGCGACTATTGACTTTGCGTGTGACACTTCGTTTTTTCATTTTTATTTTATTTTATCGGTCGGAAGGGTGTTTTTTGGCGAAAACAGGTGAAAATGGAGCTTATTTTGATGAATACTTCAAAGAACGTTTATAAAATATGTTCAGAACACTTTCTTTAATGTATTTTTGTAAAAACTTTTAGGTTTTTGTGCTAGTTTATTGAACAGATAACTATCAACGATCGATGCAGGAAAAACCAACAAGGATAATATGGAACGTCTGATATGGAGACAATACTTATGTTAATACATTCAAAAATGGGTTCATTAGTTAGCAAAGACTATGGAGATTGATATATTTTAGGAAGAACTGTTAGAAAGAATGTTTGTTTGTTGTGGAAGGAGCTGTATGTTGTTGTATATAGGTACATGATTGTAATATAAGGTAGATGCTATAATATAAAACAAAGTCTATTTATATAAAACCAGCTACTAAAATATAACGAAACAGCTTTTAATCGCCCTTTATGGGCTGTCATTTTCAAGTTCTGACTTGAAATTGGTCGCACTGACATTGTACTGGCTTTTGTAAGGTAAAGCATGTCTTCCAACTATAGCCGGCTGTTTTCTTGAAGGTTTTGGCATGTTGTACGTGAATTCTTGTGGGTTATGTCTAGTAGTATATGACGGTAAATTATTGACGATTATGCAGTCCGGTTGGTCGCCTTTGGCGCTGTTCGATGGGTATTGGGAAATGCTGTCGAGTTGGACAATCTGGCTTGATTTTGATGGTTTTTGGCTTGAATTCAGGGATTTATTGCCGGTTTTTGAAGTTGCTCGGCTATGTCTTGAATTGTCTTGTCCATGTTTTGAATTTTCTCGGCCATGTCTTGAAGTACGACCGCCTTTCGAGCTTTCCTGACCACTCCAATATTGACTATGACCAAATTTTGGGTCACTATGGCTGCTTTTATCAATGTTATGGCCATGTTCTTCACTTTTTTGGCCAGATCTGTTTAGCAAATGACCTTGAGATTGGGTTTGTACTAATACTGGTACTCTTTTGTCAGTTGTCTCAGGTAGGCTGGATTGTTGGACCATTTTGGGTGATATAGCCAGGTTTTGGGTTTCTTCATCACGAATTTGTTTCCTCAGTTTGTCATACAATTTTAGGTAATAATGATGGTCGTCGTGAGGGTTTCTGGTGTTTTTCTTGATGGTGCACTTTACTTCGTCTGAAATTTTGGTTTTTAGTGGTTTGGAGGTGAAGGGGGGGGAGGGGGGGGTTAAATTTAATTAAAATTTTTTTTAAATTTAAAAATTTTCATTTTGAAATTTCAAGAAATGCCACTTTTCAAAACCATACCATTAGTCCTCTCAATGTAGAGCCAATGAGACACTTTGCCGTCCTGTGTGGTGTTGTAAAGAATGTTTCTGCATTCGCGGATGCCTTTCTGCAACTTGCCTTCGCACTTTTGTTTGTTAATCTGGTTCAAGTTGTGTTTGACTTCAACCCAGTCATTAAAAGTGTCATTGTAAATGAACACAGTTTCGGGAAAATTGGCAGTCTAAAACGAGTTATTTTAGGTTTGGGAAATTGATGATAATTGGCATTTGTTCGAGAGGTTGAGGATGAGTTTGGGCTGTTTTTCAAAGTATAAACTACAGAAAGGTTGTGACATACAGTATTAGTGATTAGGGTGGGGGGAAGGGGGGGGAACCACTATACAGTATGCTTGGGGTGAAAATGTGACGAGTAGTTACAGTATAAAAGGAGATGGAATGATGTGTCATAGTAAACTATTTTTAGAGTGTGAGTGGGGGGGGGGAGTTGTTTAGTAAAGGGTAGGGTAAAGGGAAGGTGGGTAGGATACCGTAGCACGAGTTAGGGGTAAGGCAAGCACATGGCATGGTAATGTAGGGTATAGCAGGGTAGAATATCACAGGTTAAGGTAGGATAGGTTAGAGTAGGGTAGTGTAGGTTACGGTAGAGTCGGTAGGGTAAAATAGGGTAGGATGTGGTAGGGTAGAGTAGGGTAGAATAGGGTAGGGTAAGGTAGGGTAGTAGGGTAAGGTAGGAAAAAGTAGGCTAGGTTAGTAGGGTAGGGCAAGGCAGGGTAGGGTAGGGAAGTGCAAGCTAAGATTAGGCATGACTTACACTATTTTGATTGCAATCCTTCTGAACATACAGTATGTCATCAGTGAGTTCGTAGATACATTCTCCTTGCTTACACGACACCGAGTCCACTTGTTCATTGTCCAAATGGTGCAAAGACTGAGCACCACCAATAAACCTCAATGTTTTGGCTTTTGGTATAAATCTTACAGTAACCTTTTGCAATATGTTTGGAATATACCACGACTTGTGTGATATGACATTGTATACGGTCAGACTGTCATGAGTCAGAAAACCAAGGTAATGGTCGCCATTGTCGCGGTACCAACAGTAAAAGTTTACTGTATTTTGTTGGATTTGCACTTTGATTTCACGTTGATCGTAGGCCAGGTATACGGTAGCGGCACGGGGATCGTATACGGAGCCATGGCTCTCGAGACAATTTAGCCAAAATTTTTTGGTCGAGATTTGCTTGTTGGTATCGATGTTGTAGGTGTTTAGGGTAAAGTGGGACTTGTTCTAAAAAATGTTGAGGCTAGACTAGAGCTTGAACTTACTTAAAATTGGACTTGAAGTATAGCGAAAGCTAGGGCTTAAGCTAGGTCTTAGTCTAGGGCTTAGTGCCTGCGGCAAAGAAATAAAAAAAAATTGAAAAAGTTGGCATACCCAAATAACAATGATATGTCCGTGATCCAACAGGTAAACATGTTCATTGTCACCAAAGTCCAATCGCTCGCCCAAATCGACCGTTTGTAAATATTGTGATGAAACGTCAAACGAAGTGACAATGACTCTCCTCTCTTCCAAGTATGCAAATCTGTCCGTGTCGTCATAGTTAGAGAACAGTATTTTTACATTCGGCGACAAAATATGAAATGTGGTCTTGAATTTGGTTTGAAGAATGTCATCTTTCATCAGGGCGCGGTTGTGAAAACTGGAACAAATGAGGGTAGGGCAGGGAATGTTGGGGTAGGTTAAATGGAGGGGGAAGGGTACTGTAGGTCTTGGGTAGGTCTGGGTAGAACAGTTTAGGAACGGCTATAATAGAGTCGAGTATTTTAGGGTAAGATCTGGCGTAGTAGAGTATTCCAGGATAGGGAACAAGAAGGCAGGCAAAGGAGGGCAAGGCAAGGACGAGGGCAAGACAAGACAATAACAGGACATGGCAGGCTAGCTTAGGGTAGGGAACTCTATTCTAAATACGTGACAGAAGGCTATATTATAGTAGACAAACTTCAGATATTCAAACTTACTTCCCCAGTGCCTCGCCCCAAGATTCCCCTATCTTCTTGTAGATCTGATTCCGGCAGCATGTCATCTTCAGAAGATATTCTATCTTCTGATCCGCTAACTTATTTAAAATCTTGTTTTTAGGCTTAAGGGCGAATAAGTTTGGTATTTCATTAATACTGTCAACTTGTTGTTTGTAGAGCTCCGTGTCATCTGTTGTGGTTTCTGGCTTATATAAGGGGATACTTGGGCTGGGCTTGCAGATGAAGCTCTGAAAGTGAGGTTTTAGGGGGTTGTCTACTATAATATGGCAATACAGGCCTAAAGTAGTAAGTCAGACTTATAGGCTATAGCATTAAAATGTGACAAAACAGCTATTACTCTACGTAAAATATAAAGATATGGCTAAAATAAGGTCCATATTAACCAAAAATACTAATATATTAGGTGCCGACATAAAGAACCCGCCATTTTTTACATGAAATTACAGAAAAAGTATCGCGGGTTCTTTATGTCGGTATTTAATATATATCTAAAACAACATCAATAATTACCTAAAATACTAAGATTTACCTAAAACAAGGTTAATACATACCTAAAATATTGAGTTTTAGCAAAAACAACAACAATACCTACCTAAAGTACCAAAATATACCTATAACAACATCATCAACTACCTAAAACTTCAAAAACTTTAAACTCACCCGAAGACGGCCAAAGATGCTCCCCATGCCACTGTTCAATTAAATTTAAACTTAACTAAATGCAAGCTACCGAACCGCTCGCTATGGATGTAATTATCCGAACACAGATAATTACACCGTATGTTGATAAAATTATTACCATGAAATTAGAATAAATGGTCGTTTTCGGTTTCAACAACAAATTACACAGTCGGTTTTGAAACTTTGGCGTGTGGGCGGGGTAAAATCGTGATGTAATTGAGCGTCATTGGTAGATCATGTACTAGCCCTAGCCTTAGCTTTTGCCTTGCCTTGCCTTGCCTTGCCTTGCCTTGCCTTGCCTTGCCTTGCCTTGCCTTGCCTTGCCTTGCCTTGCCTTGCCTTGCCTTGCCTTGCCTTGCCTTGCCTTGCCTTGCCTTGCCTTGCCTTGCCTTGCCTTGCCTTGCCTTGCCTTGCCTTGCCTTGTCTTGCCTTGCCTTGCCTTGCCTTGCCTTGCCTTGCCTTGCCTCGCCTTGCCTTGCCTTTGCTTTGCTTTGCTCAGCTCTACCCTGCCTCGCCCCAGCCTAGTTGAGCACAGCCTAATTTAGTACAGCCGAGCCCAGAGCCGTAGCCCAGAGCTCTAGTTTAGAGATTAGAGCCCTATCACTCATAACTAACTTTTCTAAAGCTTTACCAAGATTTTATTAATTATAATAATATAATATAACATACACAGATTACACAATAGAACGCTGCGTAGTTGTATCAGTGCATGGAACTTCACAAACACAGCCGTAAAACAATAAACAATAACCATATTGATGGTTTAAGAAATGACAATGACGATTGCATTCTTTAGATTCACCAACTTCTAGTATTCCACATTTGTCTATGTCTACAATAATATTAATTTTAAATTTGAAATAATTCTAGTAAGGTTCAAAGCGGCATTTTTTGATTTGTAAAGAAAGTTCTCGCCATTTTCTGTTTTGTAAAGAAAGTTCTTGCCGTTTTTTGTTTTGTAAAGAAAGTTCTTGCCATTTTAGTTTTGTAAAGAAAGTTCTTGTCATTTGTCAAACAAATGGTGAGCCAAATAGTTTTTTACTCATCAATTACATATTATACTTGCCTGACTTTTGTATACACGTCATTCCGCTTACTGAAAGAGTAACTACAGTTACTACAACAAGCAAAATAATAAAAAACTTTATTTATAAAGTCGCTAGAAAGTTGCAATTTTTGAAATAAATCTAATTTTTTGATTTTGAAATTTTAAAAATTTATTGTTTAAAGAAATTCTCACAATTAAAATTAAAATTTTATTGTGAATGTGCAATAAAAATACATTTTTTCTAGTTTTAAATTGTAAAAAAAGTTTTCGATGTCTCTTAAAAAGACCAGATCCTAGGGCTGGTAAGGATGATAGGATGCAAAAGGGAATGGCATGGCAGAAACAGTGTTAGGAGCGCTAGGGCCAGGGTTGGACGCAGGGCAGGGCATGGGCTCTGTAACAGGGCATTTTTGAATTGTTTTTTGGCGCGCTTTTTTTATTTTTTTTTGGCTAGGCCTAAAAACGCAAAAATTTATGGGTTTTAAACACTGCTAATCCATTTTACGTTGTTATTTTCTTGATAGCTATTACAGTTTTCAAAATATGAGTTTGGCGGGAAAACGAAATTTAAAAAAATGCCCTGTTGAAATGCCTTGCCCTGCCCTGCGTCCAACCCTGACTAGGGCTCTTTCTTAAAGCTCTGGGACTAGGGCTAAGGCTACGCTTTAAAACATTCACTTTTAAAATTTAAAAAAAAATTTAAAAATTTCAAACTTCAAAAAAAATTTAAAAATTAAAAATTTTGTTTAGCTAAGCTCAAGTTTATATATTTAGATCAAATGACTTTATTCAACTATCATATAATAAATAAAAATTTTTATTCTGGACAAGGAACTTCACAAGTGCATCCGGCAAGAAAACTACAGTAACCGTAGAGGTTGAACTGCTGGTGACATGCGTCATTGCATGGTGCGTAATCACCAAGGTCCAGAGCACCACATGGGTTTGGATCTGGTGAATTAAAAATTAATTTTAATTTTGAATTTCACACTACATTTAAATTTAAGTTTTAAATTAAAAAATTTTTTTAAAAAAATTTTATTTTTGTATTAATTACCAGGAAATACCAAGCTGCATATTTTCAAACATTTTACGTTTACTGTAATTGAAAGCAGCAATATTACGACCAAAAACAGGTTCATAATTACAAAACACTAAATGATTTTTCAAAAAATTGTCGACACATTAATAGTTTTTATTGTATTTTATCGTAGTTATTACAATATTCCCACAATAAAAGATTTTTTATGTTGTAAATGCAATTGTAGAAGCTTTTTTAGTCTTACCGTACCCCTAGCTCTACCCTACCCTCTACGTTTACTCTAACTTTGAAACTATCTTTAAATCTGCCCCCTACCGTACGCTTACTATGTCCTTATCTTTTTACTAACCCCTACTTGTACATCTAGTTTTAAAACTACACCCTACCTTTACCCCTAGCTTTGAAACTACCCTCTAGCTTCATATTTATCTTTAGAACTACCACCTACTTTTGCTCATAGTTTTAGAACTACCCCTACGTTTAACAATTCCTATACTCTTACACTACTCCTACCTCTATCTTTACTCACCCCCTACCTTCATCCCTAACTTTATAACTACCCTCTACGTTTAATCTAAACTTTAAAGATACCCTTACATCTACCCCTTTCTATTCTTATTCTACCCTACCTTTACTTTTAGCTTAACCCGTAACCTTTATACTAAAATGAACCGCCTCTCACTGATAGTAAACGAAACAACATCTATATTTAGTGAAAATGTAAAAAAACCATTATTTTTACAGTAATCTCTTGAAACAGAAATTTTAATTGTGAGAAGCAGTTAAAATGTAAAGATATTATCATGCTTTTCATTATTGTTCTTTGTTATTGAACATGAAGGTGATCTTTGTTTTGCTACTAACAACAATTTGTGTCCATGCCTGGCCGAAGAAAGGCGTCTGTGACTACAAATTTGCTCGTAAGGTTATTTACCCCACCCTACCGTGCCCTACCTTACCTTACCCTACCCTACGCTACCCTACCCTACCCTACCCTACCCTACCCTACCCTACCCTACCCTACCCTACCCTACCCTACCCTACCCTACCCTACCCTACCCTACCCTACCCTACCCTACTTTACCCTACCCTACCCTATCCTACTTTACCCTATCTGACAGTACAATCTTACAGACCCGGATCCATGTGGATGGTGGAAGTCAGGAGAATACAAGCCTTGCAATGACCGTTGCCATAAGAATTACGACCTCTATGGTTACTGTGATTTCCTTAATGGTTGTGTTTGTGAAGTGCCTTGTTGTTCAACACCAAGTTATGAAAAAAGTTTTACAACTGTCAAAAACTAAAAATGACATATTGTATATAAATAAATATTGAATAATCTTACAAAGTTACCGTACCCTATGCTGTTTTGTTCTACCTTTTAATGCCTTACCCTACCTTATAGTATCTTATTCAACCTTAGGTTGCCGTGACCTACTCTATGCTGCCTGGCCTTACTGTATACTTTCTTACCGTACACTGTGCTCCCATGCCCTACCTTATGCTGCTCTGTAGACATGAGAAACGGGCCGGGCTTGAATGTTAGGCCCGGCCCGATTGAAATTTTGCTCAGGCCCGGCCCGTTTCTGCTGTCTACTGCCCTGCCCTACCCTATGTGATCTTACCGTGCAGTACCCTACCATTCAAGACTTACTTTCTTCTAAAATTTACCCAAATGTAGTTGTCAATGTTTGAAATTTGAAAGTGTGCAATATCCGTTGCCTTGCTTAAATTTTAACTTTATACTCCAATTGTCTCCCTACTTCAACTTGAGTGATATGAGACGCAAAAAACGCGCCAAAAGTTGTGAAGCACAACAGCTGGAAACCCAGGCAGCAGGCGAGGCGATTGTCTGTTGTCGGCGACCCACGCGACAGCCGGCCCCTCTCTCTCTTCTCTGGTTCGGGCGAGAGAGTGTTGCCCGCAACTGCGCCCATCCCCCCATCCGAACCTCCACTTTCGGCGTCCCTTCCCCGGCGATGTTGCTCGCAATCGCAATGTTGGGGTTCTTTTTATCTTCACCTCATTTCTAGGCTGCATATTTGCTTGGGATGTGAGCTAAATTTAAGTTTTATGGGATAAAGATTGCCATATTTACATTTCTCTCATGTTATTGTAGGTTGCTGGGTTGAGAATGAAGGAGAAAAAGAAAAAAGGTATATTATCATAGATTGCTGGGCTGAAATTGATGAAGATAATGTTGGCTAAGCTTTGTTTTAATGTTTTACTTACTTTAAGACCAGGTTAAACCTATTTTTAAGATTTTTTAAAGGTTGATTTAACTAGATATTCTAATATAAGTATGTTATCATAGGTTTACGGCTGCAGCAGTGAAGAAGAAGCCTCATTTTAAAATTTTAGACTTAAAAGTTTAGGTTGATCTATGTTGATCTATTTTGAACTCCTTTTTTAGTCGCTGAACTAAATTGTCCTTATAATTTACTCCTAATTTTGTTGATTTACCTTTTTTAGGAAGACTATTATTTAAAACATCTAAAACAGTATTTTTAAAAGTTATTTCCGTATTTTTGATACTTTTGAGTATAATAGAAAGTTTATTTTCTCAATTACAAGCTTGCAAAATTATGTAAAACACGAAAAAATTTCTTAAAAATTAATTTTCACCAACACCTTCAGCTTGCTCAAGTGGAATATCCTTTTGATCTTAAAATTAGAACGTGTAGGTTGAAGTTGGTAATTTGAAGTTATTTAAGAGGTAGTTTAATGTCTGTTTGCTAATTTGCGAGATTTTAGAACTCTATTTTAATGGTTTTCATTAACTTATGATTAAGTTATGTTATATAGTACAGTATAACTTAAGGTTGATCGAAAAATAGACGTTTCGGTCGAAATTTTATGTCTTCAAATCTTGAATAAGATGTTTTATTATCTATTAACTATTTTTCTAGCTTTCTAAATAACTATTTACTTGTCATTCACCTTATTTTATTCATTTACATCTGTCCGAGCAAGTATAACATCGTAAAACTAAAAATTCTTTGGTTTACCTCAATTTTTTCAGAAAAACAATGGTCTACCGAGTTAGAATTCCACCAGCACCCATTACCAGCTGTTGCCTGACACCGGACCAGAAAGACCAGCTGATAAGACTGGTCAAGGATCGTCCCGCCATCTGGGACATGAACTCACAAGAATATAACAATGGTAATGAACGACGAAACGCGTACGCGGAAGTGGCAAGAATAATGTCCGGAGGAAAATATAAATATACCTGTAAGTGTTTTACTTTGTGTCTTCTGTTTTTAGGCTTGTTGGAAGTGGAATAGGCTTTGATGTGCTTTGATTTCATAGATAATATAAGCATTGGTGTCAAAGAAGTGTAAATTTGATAAATTCTAAAATGTTATTCGAAGAAGCTTTTTTATTAATGGCAACTCATTTTAGTCTTCGTTTAATGTTGTTTTACAGAGCAAGCGTTTCTTTGAAAAGTTCGGCGAAGGAAAAGTACGGGCGCAGTTTTGAATACTCTTTCTGCAGGTTGCGGTTTATAAACGTATAATAAGGTGTTTATAAGGTGCTTCTAAGAATATGTAAGACATTTTAGGCTTATTCTTTTTAATTTAGGCTTTTAATTTTAGGCTTGTTTTTTAGTTTAGGTTAGTTTTTAGGGTTTAGGCTTATTTTTTGCGTTTTTAGGCTTATTTATTAACCTTTAGGGGTTTTTGATAATTTTATGTATTTTATGATAAGTTTAGGCGTGTCTTTGGATTTCTAAGCTTGTTTTTAAAATTTTAGGGCATTTCTTTAGTGTTTAGGCTTACTTTTGTATTTTAGGCTTATTTTTGCGTTTTTACGCTTATTTTTTATAATTCTTGTCTGATTTTTTCACTTTCAGCACCAGAAATTCAAATCGAATGGAAAAAGCTCCGAGACGTGTTCAATCGAACCCTAAAGAAGGCGATTGCCACCAACACCGACATTAGTTGGAAGTACTGGAAGAAGATGAAGTTCATCGCACCTCCAGAACAGTTGGAGCAACTGCGAGGCCAACAACTGTGCACGGCTACCGAAGACTGTGAGGACATTGTTCAGAGACTCATCGACTCGTCTGGTATCAACAAAGAAGAGTGTATCTTTGAGAACGATGAGGATGGTGATGATAATAAGCCTGTGACTAGTTTGGAATGGATTTCGTAAGTTTTTAAAGGGTGGTTTGTTATGGGCGGTGTAAAATGAAGAGGCATGGTCAAATGAAAGGGTATTGCAAAGCTAGGGGGCATGAGAAAATGAAAGGGCGTGTTAAGATCAAGAGGCATGTCATAGGGCATGATGAAAGCATAAGTCATGGTAAAAATGGCAAGAACTTTCTTTACAAAACAAAAAATGGCAATAACTTTCTTTACAAAACAAAAAATGGCAAGAATTTTCTTTACAAAACAAAAAGTTGCAAGAACTTCCTTTACAAAACAGTATTTAGGCTTACTTTGATTTTTTTTTGTATTCTTAGGCTTGTTTTCAATATTTTGTTACCCAAAAATAATTTTCTTAAATTCCAGTCAAACCTGTGACCAAGTCACCAACGAATGTACCGACAATGAAACCCCCTCCCCAAAGGAATCAACCTCGACCAAAACGGAGGAATCAGAAGACGTGAAGGTACTAGAAGACACGACAGAACCATCATATGAACCAGTACCCAAGCGAAGACGCTTCTTCCAGCCGGCTTCCTGGTTGAACCATTCACCAAGTGTCAGACTAACCAATGGACCTAGTGTTAGACTGACTAACTCACCGAGGACGGAAGATACCTTCGCTACATTCGGAGCATACGTGGCTAGCCAGCTGAGGTTCATATCCGAGAAGAACAAGGTGAACGGAGTCATGCTGAAGCGAGAAATCATGGATCTGTGTGTCAAGTACGAGCTGGACGGACTATAACGAGCTTGACGGACTGAAGCTTTTCAAAACTAGACTACTCATAACAATACTATATATCTCAACGTGTATTCAGGTACTAATGTTTACTCTAATTTTTAACATTTTGTTCATTTTTCAATAAATTGTATTATTACTGGCGGATGTTGATGCAAGTTGAATGTTTTGGTCAAATATTGATGTAGGTTAAACACTATTGAAGAATATTTATGTTAGTTAAGTACTGTTTAAGAATGTTTATGTACGTCTAGTTGGGCCTTTTATTGATTTTTAGACTGTGTAAAAAGTAATGAGCTACTAAGCTCGTTTATATTCGTGTATGAAATAGTTCATTACTTTTCATACAACTTAATACTTGCAGCGCTGGCATGGATGTGTGGTAGATATTGGATTATTAGGGTCCGGGGATAAGAGAGAACTAGAAAAATGAAAATTAAGGAAAAAGAAAAAAATTTGGGCGGGGTAAAAAAAATTTTTTTTGGGGGAGGATTTTTTTTTGAAAAAAAATTTTAGATGTGAAAACGTAATGACAGGTGAGATATTGTTTTGTGTATTTTAAAAAAAGTTCTTGCAATTTTGCAATTATTCCGCTAAAACAGCCTATTTTTGTTGGCTGCGGCATGCGGATGAAAAGTTATACGATGGGCTTTACAAAGAAAGCAATTTTATGTTTTGGAAAGAAAGTTCTTGCCATTTTTTGATTTGTAAAGAAAGTTCTTGCCATGTTTGGATTTGTAAAGAAAGTTCTTGCCATTTTGTGTTTTGTAAAGAAAGTTCTTGCCATTTTTTGATTTGTAAAGAAAGTTCTTGCCATTTTGTGTTTTGTAAAGAAAGTTTTTGCCATTTTGTGTTTTGTAAAGAAAGTTCTTGCCATTTTGTGTTTTGTAAAGAAAGTTCTTACCATGTTTGGATTTGTAAAGAAAGTTTTTGCCATTTTGTGTTTTGTAAAGAAAGTTCTTGCCATTTTGTGTTTTGTAAAGAAAGTTCTTACCATGTTTGGATTTGTAAAGAAAGTTTTTGCCATTTTGTGTTTTGTAAAGAAAGTTTTTGCCATTTTGTGTTTTGTAAAGAAAGTTCTTGCCATTTTGTGTTTTGTAAAGAAAGTTCTTACCATGTTTGGATTTGTAAAGAAAGTTTTTGCCATTTTGTGTTTTGTAAAGAAAGTTCTTGCCATTTTGTGTTTTGTAAAGAAAGTTCTTACCATGTTTGGATTTGTAAAGAAAGTTTTTGCCATTTTGTGTTTTGTAAAGAAAGTTCTTACCATGTTTGGATTTGTAAAGAAAGTTTTTGCCATTTTGTGTTTTGTAAAGAAAGTTTTTGCCATTTTGTGTTTTGTAAAGAAAGTTCTTGCCATTTTGTGTTTTGTAAAGAAAGTTCTTACCATGTTTGGATTTGTAAAGAAAGTTTTTGCCATTTTGTGTTTTGTAAAGAAAGTTCTTGCCATTTTGTGTTTTGTAAAGAAAGTTCTTACCATGTTTGGATTTGTAAAGAAAGTTCTTGCCATTTTCTACCTTCTCATGTTACAGTAAGCTTTTCTTTTTATTATTTCCATTTCTTCTTTTTATTTTAAAAGTGCATCCGTTCGTTTTTTGAGTAAACAATTTTTTGTCAAAGGATTTGGACGAGAAAAACTAATAAAAAAAGGTTTCAGATGTTCTCCCTTCTGTACTCTTTAGTCTTTTCGAGTTGTTTTGCAGCTGGCAGAGGCAGAGAGTCATAAAATATTAAAATGCATCATAAACTTTTTTTTGGTGTTTTAGGTAACAACTTTTGTTTGAAAAAAGTGATAGGGCATGAGAAAAGAGGTAAAAATGGTAGGGCATGGTAAAATGATAAGAGCCTCTTTAAAGGGCAAAGTTAATAAGGTGGGAAAGGGTATGGTAGGGCTAGAGGTAGGACTATGGCTAGGGGCTAGCACACGGCATAAAAAAGGGCATTGCTTGGTAGAGCGTGGCAGGATCAGGCAAAGCAGGATAAAGTAGGGTAGGGCAAGGGCTAGGGCTAGGGCGAGAGCTAGGGCTAGGGCTAGGGTTCGGGTTAGTGGTAAAGCTAGGGCTATGGCTAGAGTTAGGGCTAGGGCTAAATTTAAGGCTAGATAGGGCTAAGGTAGGCTTGGGTATTTTTACTCGTTTTGAGATAAAAGTGCATAGTCAAACATACTTTTAGTGATTTAATGGTCCCATTAAAAACAAGCCTTTCTGTGGCCAAACAAACAAACCCATTCGGTTTTTATGGCCTTGAATTTGCATTATAATCGGCTTTTTGCAAAGATAGATTATTAGTTTTGTGGTTGGTCAATTAAGCCATGAATGGGGCAAGTATATGATATTATAGTTATTAAAATTTGCATATTGAATCAAGCAAGCTTATTTTCAACTTTTAAACTTGTATTTTAAGCCTAAAGTTGGGACTTTAATTTTTGGCCTTAGGCTTTGATTTGGTTTTAGGCTCATCAGATTATTTTAGGCTTAAAGTTTAAGATCTAAGAAGAAAACAATTTTTAGGGGCTTTTAGGCTTTGGTTTGTTAGCTTAGGCTTAGAAAAAGTATTTTGGGCTTAATGTTTAGGACTTAAAAATTTTTTTTGGGGAGTTAGGCTTGTTTAGGCTTAAAAAATTTATTTTAGGCTTAAAGTTTAAGACATACATTTTTTTTGGGATTTTTGGCTTAGGTTTGTAATTTTAGGCTTAGAAGGTTTGCCTTAAGCCTAAAGCTTAATGCTTAAACAAACACTTTTTTTTGGGATTTAAGCTTTGGCTTGTAAATCTAGACTTAGAAAAGTTATTTCAGGCTTAAAAACGCAACTTCAGGCATAAAATATTGATTTTAGGCTTAAATAGTGATTAGGCCTATAATCTTGAAAAAAATTTTAATTTTATGCCATTTTAGCTAATACCAGACTAAAAACCAAAGAATACGGTAAAAAGGCATTCATAGTTTGATAAAAGTGCATGTTTACAATGTTGCGTAAATATCACACCTTTAGTGACAGTTGGGACTGAATGTGTTTGTGATTCATGTTGTTTTGGTTCGAAACGATTTGTTTTCGAGACTAAAGGCTGTGGTAACAACCATATGGCTAGTCTAGGGGCTGTAAAATAGCTGGTTTTGGAATAAGGGTTAGGTAAGGTAGGTTAGGGTAATTTGAGGCAAGTTAATTCAGGGCAAGTTAGACTTGGGATTTGTAGGCTCAGACGAAGTCAGGTAGGGTAAGGCAGGGTAGGGTAGAGTGAAAAATGGGACAAGGGACAGGTAGAATGTGATAAAAAGTAAGGCATGGGTAAAATGAGGGAATGGTAAAAGACGAAGCATGATAAGGGTAATGTATGGTAAGAAGGGCTAGGGCAGGGTAGCTTACGATCGGATAGGTTAAAGTAAAGCAGGGTAGAGTATGATAGAGTAAATCAGGACAAGACAGGGCAGGTCAGGGCAAAACGATGCATTGTAGGGCTGGGTAAGGAAGGAGGGGGGGGATGGGTTGGTTTGAGTATGGTAGGGTAGGGTAAGGTAGGGTAGGGTAGGGTAGGGTAGGGTAGGGTAGGGTAAGGTAGGGTAGGGTAGGGTAGGGTAGGGTAGGGTAGGGTAGGGTAGGGTAGGGTAGGGTAGGGTAGGGTAGGGTAGGGTAGGGTAGGGTAGGGTAGGGTAGGGTAGGGTAGCGTAGAGTAGGGTAGGGTAGTAAAAAACAATACATTATACAGAAATACTGTTTGAAAGAACCATTGGAGCCATATCGTTATGTTAATCACCTTGTTTACGAAACTTTTTCGCTTTACAATGCAATTTTTTTATTTGGATAACATTACTGATTAAATTCTTGTTTTTTGTTTCAAAATGCACTTTTACAATGTTTTCGACTTGTAACTTGCAAAACGTGGTTGTAAAGTTTGTTTTTAGGCTACGAGAATACTGTAGGTTTTTTTGGCAAACTTGGGTACAAAATGGCTAGGGCAAGGATAGAGCAGGACTGGTGAAATGCTAGACCAGGGTATGGACTAGGGTAGACCAGGGTTAGGACTAGGGTAGACTAGGGCTAGAACTAGGGTAGACTAGGGCTAGGGCAAGGGTAGACCAGGGGCAGGGTTAGACCTGGGCTATAGCAAGGGTAGATCACGGCTAGCGCAGACCAGGGCTAGGGCAAGGTAAATGAGGGCATGGGCAAGGAAGGACCAAGACTAGGGCAAGGGTAGGCCAGGGCTAGAGCAAGGGTTGACTAGGACTAGCGCATGTCTACATAAGGGCCAAGATAAGGCTAGAGCAGGGCAAATGAAAGACAAGGACACCCAGTAAAGGATTACGGTACATGATAGATTTGGGCTTTTTTGGTAAGACTTCTTAGGCTTAGCATGAACATATTAGGTTTAACATAAACATATAAGCATGAATTTGTTAGGCTTAATAATGTAAAATTAAATTTAAAATGTTATTTTAGGTTTAGCTTGACCATGGTGAACTTAAAGTGACACTTTAGGCTTAGCTATGGCATTTTAAAATGTAATTTTAGGCTTAGCATAAGTTTTTAGGTAGAATTAAAACATTAGGCTTAGCAAGGATTTATTAGGCTTATCATGAGCATCATAGGTTTAGCATTAAAATATTAGGCTTAGCATGAACATATTAGGCTTATTATGAACGTATTAGGTTTAGCATAAATATATTAGGCTTAGCATGAACATATTAGGCTTAGAATGAACTTATTAGGCTTAAGACGACCTTATTATTTTTTGAAAGTTCTTGACACTTATTCCATTAAAACTGGCTTACTTGTGCTCTGCAGCCTGCAGATGACAGGTTATACGATGGAAATGGATTTTTGGGGCTTTACATACCTAATATTTTACGTTTTGTAAAGAAAGGCTTTGCCACTTTTTGTTTTGTAAAGAAAGTTCTTGCATTTTTTTGTTTTGTAAAGAAAGTTTTTGCTATTTTTTGTTTTGTAAAGAAAGTTCTTGCAATATCTTTTAGTTTTGCTTGTTCTTTTTCTGCTATTTACTGATAGATAGTGTT